CGTAAAGTTCTTCCAGAGTTAGATCTCTGCCATTTTTAACTCTAATTCCTAATGGACATCTCATCTTTTTTTCTTTAATAGGAGTAGATAGGCTTTCCTATCACCCAGTCTATACTCCTCTTGAACAGGAGTAGAAGCTCATCCCCTATTTCCTGTTTAGGAAGGGGCTCCCGGTTCCTTTCCTTTTCTCGGACCTTACTAGTGGTGCTGTCATGAATTTTTTTTGTGATATGCATGGATGGTGGCAACATCTTCATTCTGTGGGTACCAGATTGGCAGTTTCCTGGTTGCCGCTCCTGACTAGTAGTTAAGAGCCCAAACTCTTGCATAGCATCTTGACAGGCTGCTCTGATCAACAGTCACATACTATCAGGGTTCTTGCAGTGCCATGTCATGCATGGGTGTCCCTGTAAGCACCTCCAATGGACAACTCTGAGGTAACATTATGTTGCAGTCTGTGCCAGTTCCCTTCCCACACATGTTACATTAGATGACTGACTGCTACCACTAACCTAGGCCTATCCTTACAAGAATAACACTCCAGGACCATAAGCAACTAATGAAATAAAACTAAACCAACTAGACAACAAAAAAAAAAAATATTCATACCAACTTCTGCAATGTGGAATTTTTCCTCTTCGTAAAGTCTCCAGACATCCTAGCTCTCTGTGAAAATAATCATAACTCTTCAATCTGATCATCTGATTTCTCAATTCCTGGCTATCTCACTCTCTCTAGGAAGCTCCCTAATGTCCACAGGCAGAGCCTGGGAGTTTATGTCCACAAACATCTCCACTGACTAGGGAGCTTTCTCTTGACAATCCAGAGTACTCTTACATATGTCTCTGTCTCTCTCTACTAAATTCAGTCAGCTATCTCTTCTTTCTCTACCGTTCCCCTTCCTCTATTTCTGATAATATAAACAAGGCCATCTCCCTTCAACCATTTGCAATTATATTTAAATTCAGTGACTTTAATGCCCACCATACCAGGTGGTTTAAGCACTCTGTCACTAACCTCACTAGCATCCAAAACCTGAATTTCTCAATCACTTTCACACAAGTGGTTGACTTCTCACACATTTCCTCAGTCACCCTGTTCCTCAGTCACCCTGATGGACACAGTTCTCTGCTAGATCTCTTTACCTCTATCCCTGACTCTTGTCGTACTATGCAGCTCTGCTCTCTTGGCAACTCTGATCATGCAGTAGTGTCTGTAAATGTCCCTTTCTGCATTCCCACTAACCAAGAACCTCCGACCAACAGAATATTTTTCTATTATCAAATGTACGGATTGGGATCGGGATTTGTTCCAGGATTTCCTTTGTGACATCCCTTAGAATTAAGTTTTTAATCTTCTCTTCAAAAATCCACATCTGAGGTGTCCTCCTGTATGAAAGCTGGCTAAGACAATTTCATTCCAGCAAGGAAATACCATATTAAACCACACTCATCATCTTGGTTCTCACCTGCATGCTCGGCCACCATATCTCACAGAAATCACTTCTTTCAGCTGAACCAGAGCAACACGTTTGATGAGTGCAAGCATGTCCTTGAAGAAGCAAATTTACTGTTGGCTGATATAATGAAGCAACGTATAGCATATCACAAGTTTGGTTCTAAAGATTATTGGCAACTCTACAAGAATGTTCTGAGCAACAACAAATCTCAATCCTTCCTCTATTCAATCAATTCGAACTCCTGACAAGTTGAATTGTCATAAAGAAATGTGCTCCCAAGGTGTGGCTCCAGTTCTCTCCAAATTCTACAACTATTGCCTTGTTGCTTCCTAGCTTCCTGGAAGATGTCTGTAGTTCCCGTTTTTAAGAACTCTGGAGAATTTTCTGATCCTTCTATCACCCTATTAATATCCTACTACTTTTGGGCAAAGTATTCAAGGCTTTAATCAATGCTGAGCACCTTACGTCTCACAACCTACTCTGTGAAAAACAATATAGTTTCCATTTTGCCCTGTCTACTCTGCTGATGAGCTAATCGCCTTCACTTGATATACATATATCAAGCTCTTGATAACAGCAAAGCTGAAGCTGTGGCTCTAGATTATCTCAAAGACGTCTGACAGGTTTTGGCACACTGGTCTTCTACATAAGCTCCAGGGCTACAGTATTACTGAATGATTGTTTGATTTAATCGAATCATTTCTATCAAATCATGAAAGGAAGGTCATTTTGAATGGGCTCACTTCCAGATCCTTTCACACAAATGTGGGTGTCCCCCAAGGCTCTATCTGGATCCTACACCATTTCTGAATGACCTTCCTGATGTGATCAGTTCCCAAGTAGGCATTTTTGCTGATGACACTACCATTTACTCCTGTCTCGAAAACATAGTTAACCTGGCTGCAGCTCTTGAAAAGGCCTCTAATCTGTGGTTAACTGGGGCAGGAAATGGCTCAGAAATTTTAATGCCTCCAAAATGAAGCTGCTCTCATTTAAGAACCATAGAGAAACATGTCTGATGCTAGACTCATTGAGAGCAACACGCTGCACCTCCTTGGCCTCACATTCTCAACTCACTTGAAGTGGAAAGACTACATGGAATCAATAGCTGCATCTACTGCAAGGAAAGTTGGGGTCACTATGTTGTGTCAGAAGGTTTTTCTCGTCCATCTTGATGTTTACAAATCATTTGTCCATGCATTGAGTACTGTTGCCATATCTGGTCTGGTGCTCCTGCTACGCATCTCAAAGTTCTTGACAAAATAAAAGAAAAGGAATCTGCAATCACAACTTCAGTCACTTTCTCACTGATGTGACATGGCTTTCCTGTCTTTTATACAAATATTTTCATGGCAGCTGCTCTGACAAGCTGTTTCCCTGGTGCCCAGAGTATGCAAGTTAAGTGTGCTACTAGACTGGCATCTAGGTCCCACCCTTTTACTGTTAAATTAGTTAGATATAATTGCCACTTCTATTCCAAAAGTTTCTTTTCTCAAACATCTCGCCTGTGGAACTCCCTTTCATTTCCTTGCTTCCCTGATAATTTCAATCTTCAAAAATTTAAATGTAACATCAATCACGATCATCTATCTTCTTGAATCTCGTTTAGCTTTTATCCTTTCCTCAACCCCCCCCCCCATACCCAGTCTTTTCTCTCCCCTTCACTTTCTGTAAACCCCTGCATATCAGTGGCATTCCCACCTTACTTGGAGTGAAATGAAAAAAAAAAAAAAATAAACATTGCCAAGGAGTGAAGTTAGTAGTTTTCATTTTTTTTCATTTCACCCCAACAAGGCAATAAAGACACTAAGATGCAAGGGGTTACTGAGTGTTAGAGAATATGAGAAAAAAAAAATAACACTATTAAGGAGAGAGGACAATAAAAGAACAGGTCTTAAGAAAACAGAAGATGACGATTGACATTAATTACATTTATAGTTAAAATATTAGCGCTCTCAAAATAAAAAAAAAAAAAAATCCTTTCAATACCCATTAGGAATGTCAAAGTTACCAAAGATCTTTTCATTTGTTATTTTGTCTCTCAATTGGCTGGGTTGGTTAATATCTCAACTGTTGTTTTAATTGCTTTCTTCTGACCAATGTTGAGAAAATGCAGCATCTGAAGATATTGGTCTTTTGTGAGAGAAAAATCGGCAACAATGAAATTTAGAAGACAAAAATAAAATTTCAAAGAATGTATAACATCCTCTTTGACTTCTTGAAAATATGTTATGTTCAAAGGAAAACAATCCAAGCAAAAAGAACTTTTTACTCTTCTTTTTGAACAAAAGAAATGTCCCAGTAAGTACCTAATCCCACCTGCTATCCTCTACTTTTACAAGAGCCAGATCAGGAGTACTGAAAAATGGAGTTCTGCTGACATATATGGGTAGAAGCTGCCCAGTCTTCAATTTCCAGCTTCGATATATCTTCACGCCTTTGTTAGTTACTAATTATTTTCTATACTCTAATCCCACTGATGAAATGTTGCAAGTCTCTTCTGCTTTATTATTTCCATGAAAAGTGTTTTGACAAATATTACTTAGTTCCACCAGTTCTAACCTTGATGTTTAAGATCTGCCATGTCATGCACATTGTAATGAACCACTTGCATTCCTGTTGTATTCCATTAGTTTAAGTTCCACTTGAGCAGCTTCTTCCCATGAACCACTGCTTTATGGAACTAAATCCCAAGAGAATGCTTCTCCAATCTCTACAATCTTAACTTGTTCAAGTCTAGGATCAACTGTTATCTTCCCTATATATCTGTGCCTCTTACTCTCTAACCCTCTACTTCAAGAGGTTCTTGGGCTTTGTACAAGTTGAACATCATTGAAAAAAAAAAAAAATGTATTAAAACAAACCAATTTTTGCTGTCATTTCCATGAAAGCTCAATAAATGGTAAATGTGCAAAAGAATCAAGAATCATATAATAATTATCACTATGTATTTATTTATACATTTCCTGAGGGCTTAATAAGACAGACGGAAATACAAGCGTAATGGTTAACAGCACTTAACACCCTGTAAATATATTGTATATTTTTTGTCTGATACTAAAGAGATATTGTACTAATGCTCTTTCATGGTGTAAATTCCATTGGTGAGATGTAAATTCTACTCAAGCAGCTTTTTCCCAAGAACTGCTCCTTTGTAGAACCGATTCCCAAGAGGATGCTTCACTAGAATCTTAACCTGTTCAAATCTAAGGGCAATCGTTATCTTCTCCATATCCCCACAAACCATAGCACTTACCCTCTAACCCTCTGCCTTGAGTAGCTCTTGGGCTTTGTACAGGGTGAACATCATTGTAAAATAAAAAATTTTTGTTGTAAAACAATCCAATTTTTGCTGTCAATCAATAAGTGGTGCTAAGATAATCTATTTTTATTAATTAAACAATTTCTGGGTCAAGATAAAAGCAGCTTGTTCCTTTCTATGTGAGTTTCGATAGTATCACACAATCAAGTCAAGTGAATTATGACAATATTTTGATTTTCCGAATAAGAGACAGAGAAAAAATATAATCTTTGTTCTTACCTTTGTGCATATGACTGTTGTCAAGGCAATTAGAATCTCCAAATATGACAACACGGCCTGAAGAAGGTTTGGCCGAGGTTTGATGCAAACCCAGCACTGGGACATTCTTTACAGTCCGAGGATCCCCACGGAGTACTTCATAGCCTAAAAATTAAAGATTATATTCTTGATTGGAAAGACAAGTTACAAAAGTAAAAAAAAAAATTACAAACACTGTTGATGGTCAGTGTACCAAATTTAGCATTTTATCCAAATTTCATGCCAATTTGAGAATATAATTTAGTCTGGCAATATTATTTGGAACTTAGATGACAAAACTGACTAATTTTTATTCATCTTAATTTCATTTGCTTATCTACTTCTCAAATAGATTCTAGATCAATGTTTCTCAAGCTTTTTTTTTTTTTTACCTCAAAGTGCACTAAAACTCGAGGTGCACTTTAAATTTTAATAAGAGAAAATTAGTCATGAAATTTGAAAATATGAAATTTTGCTTTGGCAAAGAAGATTAGTGGTACAATTTTCATTTAAAGGGGGTTTATGAAGAATTTTTTTTTGACAGAGGCCGATAATGATAGATTTAAATCCCCTGAATAAGGCAAAAAAAGAAAATGGATTATCCACTCTCACTTAAAGATTAAGGAATTAAGCATCCAGTGTAAAATATCAAATGACAAAAACTTGATTTAGACATGGAAACCACATGTCTAGCTTTTTAAAAATAAAGATGTTTTTAAATATAAAAATCTTTCTTTTTAAACATCAGAGATTCATCAAGCTCTACAATAAAATCAATTCAACAATTTCTCTTAAAGGAAGACAAGACGGGGTATGTCTAACAAATTCCACCTATTCTTTTCCTGTTACCCATGGGTTGTTGCTAGACAGAAATGGAAATTAGTATTAATAATGACAAAGATCAGAACAAATATTCATAATGATAATTCTTCATCCCAGAAATTCAAACAGAAAATTAGCACTCATGAGACATGTAGTGTAACTGGCTATGGTTAAATGTAATTGGCAGAAATGCCCAACAAACAAAATTGACAAAGTTTGCAATAAACAATAACAAGAGAAAGAAAAGAGAAGAACAAACAAAAAGAAATAATATTGAGCAAACAATATAAGGCAAAACCGCAGCAATAAGGCAAAGCAAAAATAAATAAGGCAAAAGGTTCATAGACTAAGAATGGTGTTAACACACAAAAGGGGATACAGACAAGTGATCACAGCATTCTGGCTTCAAGACAAGAAATAACAGAACCGAGTCAGATGAGAGCAAGAAGCCACCTATCTTACTGGCTAGAAAGAAATCCCAGCATGTATCTGTGTTTTGTCTATAAATCAAAGAGAAGGAAGTTTGTTGCAGTCATTCCTACCAATTTTTTGTGGGGGTGGACATGTCCTAATAACATATTTTATTTTCAGCTTGAATGTTTTGTTATATTCTAGTTTCATTTGTGGGTTCATCCCTCCCCACTCATTTCCTGAAATTAAATTTTTATATATTTTTGTAAAAAATGATAAAAGCAAAAAAAAAAAAAAAACAGGACATTTGTTATATCCTGAAATTTTTTTTATGTCATGGAAGTGTTTGTAGGGTCCCTGTGAGTATGTGGTATTATGCTATATGTTGGATTGAATGGATAAGGTCTTGGGGGTGAGTGAATAAATTGTAATGGATGAATGGGTTGTGAAATGGATTAGCTAAGATTTGGATAGTTAGTGTAGACCAGCCTTACACCACAATAACTCTACAATCCTACCAATTGAAACCACAAGATGAATATTCAATTTCAATCAAAATATAGGCATGAATATTTTAATTTAATAACAGACCTAAAAATATTTCCACAAAAGAAAAACAAACTTTAAATATAATTGTAATTATCACTAAATAAAATTTTATTTAATTTTATGAAAATTAAATTTATTTTTTGTGAAAAAAAAAAATTGATTATTTTAGGGTTTAAAATATTAACTTTTTTTCTACCAACTTTATAATTTTATTGCTCATCTTAGGGTAGTGGTTGTCCAGTCTGAGTGGGAGGGGAATATATTATTCAAATATATTAATTCAAATTATTTACACTTGAACTGTTGTCCACATCTTTGTTGTTGTTATAACAACCTTTCAGCTATTTTGTCATCAGTCCTTCTTTAGGACCATCCAGACAACCTTTAAGGAATTGAACCCTTTACTTATTTTTTATTTCATCTTATTTCAAACTTATAGATGCAGACAATGTGTGATGGACAGAAAATCAGCTCTTCTTTAATGATATAGATTTGTACTATGGACTGATCGCCAAAAAATGTTGTAACAAAAAGCAACTGAAATTAAAAATCAAAGAAATAGTAATTGATTACTTCTGCCATATTTGAGCGAGTGAAGCCTGAGGTCTTGTGAGAAACATCATCCTTCTTTAAAAATTGTGAACAGGCAACGCAGAATCACAAACAAAGAAATGTACCAAATAAAAGAAATAATTTGAGGACTACCAACAGCAGCAACAACTAAAATGGATAGCACATGCAACTGTTGTAACCTAGGAAAAGGTTACTGAATAAAAATGACCAAAATGAAGGTTGGAAATGGAACAATAATATTTATAACAGAAACAACATACAAGATTTGCCAGCAGTGTGTAGTAAGTAATCAACTGCTTATGGTAAGCTAGAAGTGAATCAAGGTGAATCCCAAGTGGAAGACTAGTGAATCCAACTGACTACCACATACAATATATTCTACTGTATTTATACGGATTGGGACATACCCATTATAGTCCATAGGTACAGTATAACTGTAACTCAAGGAGAAAATAATGACATAATCAAGATGTTGATATTTTACACTATTTCAAATAAGAAGTTAGGAAGGACCCCCACCATCAGTACTAGAAAGAGCAATAACAGTTACTGGACATAAGAAACTGATGTTCTTGAACAATTGTTTCAAGAGAAAGATTTAATAAATTTCAAATGGCACTGACTGCTTGGTCAATGAATGCCAAATTTTTTCATATAAGAAAATGGCAAATATAATCATTACTAAAGAGTACAGATACTATGCTTAGTACATCACCACCATGGTGACAGGGTATGGCACAAAACCAGTTTAAGATGGGAAAGCCCATATACAACCGCTTCCTGAAAGCAATGGTGAAAAAAGGCTTTAAACGAGTCATGGCAGAAATCATCCTTCTTTAAATATTGTGGCCTGGTGATACAGAATCACAAAGATCTGTAGCAAATAACAAAAACTACATCACTAGATATACCACACTGTTGAAGTGGTCTTGTTAAATAATAGTTTAGCAGACTATTATTTTTTAGAGGAAGTTGGCTGACCTTCAAGTTCAGATGGGAGACAAAACAATGAAGTTGATTTTGATTGGCTGAGCCAGCATCAGAATGATAGATACAGAGAAAGGGTTTTCAGTGAGTTGTTTCTTAACCATCAAACAATATAGATGTGTTTTATTTTGTGTCCAAAATGGCTCCCCAGCAAAGGGGAAGAAATCCACTGGATAGTTAGAAAATGTAGACATCAACGTGATTAATAAATAGTTAGGTTTAAAATTCCCTGTGTTGAAGTTCTTTCCATCTTAAACCAAAACAACTAGCGATTGCCAAATAAGAGAAGACAAGAGGAGACCACCCCCACAAGGGGGCTATACAACAGTCTGACCATGCCTAGATTTATCATCCTTTGTAAATAATCTCCAAACTTCTACATCTGCTTTCCAGTCTGTAAATGAGTCACCACAGCCAGGGTTGAATACTGGTGGTTGATTAAGGGAAGCCATCACTACTTATATCAGGAACTACACTCCAATGTCAGGGATTCACCAGACAATAAATAGGTATATAGAACAATAACACACACTACTTCAAATAAAAGGCTAGTAAGGAAACTCCCATCAATACTGGAAAGAGGGATAACAGCTATTGGGCTTGAAAAACCTATTTTCTGGAAAAATTATTTTAAGAGAAAAATTTTATAAATTTCAACCAAAAGCCATACTGGCTGCTTGGTCAATGAATCCTCAAATGTTTCCTTGTAGGGAAATGGCTAATATTAACATTACAAAAATAGAGTGCCTCATGATGTAATGGCTAACAAGCTTGTCATGCTAGATCAATTAGTAGTGAGCAGTGAGTTAGATCCTCACAGTGTGCACCACACTTTCAGCCTTGTACCACATCTAAACTATGATCAGAAAATCATAAGGGTACCTCAATGTGATGTAATGGTTAGCTAGCTTGTCTAGTTATATCATTTATGACTGAATAGTGAGTTCAATCTTCACTGTGTGTCCCATACTTTCAGACTTGTGCCATATCTAAGCTATGCTTAGAAAAATCACCATGCTTACCTGGCACAGCTTATCATCTCTCAGTTGCACGTCTATCTTCAGGTAGAGTGTGACTCAGTTGCAGCTCTGTTGGAAGACAGAGCTGAAACTGAGGAAAATAACATTGTGAGGTGCCCAGCCCTGGGGAACAGCTGCCCAAGGCTGCACCCTCTCATGGCACTAGAGAGAGAGATCGATGCTCACACTGAGGCCAGCACAACCGATGGCTGAGGGGGCTGGAGAAATTTTTATCCTTGGCCCAAGTGTGCATGCACAGGTTCCCCACAATAATCCCAATCTTGTATCACATCATGTCTCCGTGAAGAGATAAGGTAAATACCATTACCATTACAAAATTAAGGAAGAAAAATCTGATATATTTAAACCCTTCGTTCACAGCAAAAACATGACCTGCCACAACATCCTGTTCCTTGGAGCTCCTAATAAATTTTATCATCTTTTTATTATTTCTCCTAAACCCAGCTCCACCATCTATTTACTTGAGCACATTAAGTATGTCATGCATTGTCTTCCTCTGTCTTTCTTGCCTTCAATCTGTCTTGTGAGTATTAGATTTTCCAAGCCCCCTTTCTTCATTATGTACCCTAGAAACTTCAACTGTCTCTGTTAAGTATAAGTTTCCCTTTTGTATCAACATATGAATGTTAAATGATGGGAAACAAGTTTGCTGACTAATTCTAACAAAAATAATTATCTCTCCAAGAGTTTTATTCATTCTTTTTAAGTTACTCTATTTAGTTTTGCCATACGCCTGTTAGGTGATACTGTTTGAGGCTATAAAAAGACTAAGTTTCTCTTTCTTCCTCTTGGTCCAAGATATAGCTGCTCGTAGATGAGAGCAACCCTGCTGGAGTACATTCATTTCCCCAGTCAATTGAAAACTGAACTGCCACACACACAAACAAGCACATTCTTAACAGCTCAGTTTTTAATGTCCTTTCTTTTCTTTTTACAATAATATCATCTTTATTACTACATTAATTGTATTAATACATTGTTTGTTTAAAACCCATATTTTGTCTATTTTTACTCAGACTCGCATCAGTCCACCAAATATTGTAATTTGTTTTAAATATTTATTAAAAAAAACGTCCACACCTCACAACAAAATTGGTATGCCCACAACACAATTACAGAAATCTTGGGGCACTTCGACCGGGTGTAATGGTTAGCAAGGTTATCTTGGTCGATCAATTAGGACTGAGTAGCGAGTTCGATCCTCACTGGATGCTCCACACTTTCAGCCTTTGTCACATCTAAGCACTGCTTAGAAAATCACCATTACAGAGATCTACTATAATTCTTTTCTTTATTTTTTTTAAATCAGGGGAGGTGATAATAAAAATATTTTAAGAGTTATCTCCCTTAAATTTTACTTTGTGTGTGTGTGTGTGTGTGTGTGTGTATGTGTGTGTGTGTGTAAGTTTTTTAAGGTAAATTTTTTTTACATGCATTAGTATATTGAAATCCTCACAGCATTTAGTATTGTTCAAGTTATCGCTAGGATATTTGTTGAGATTTACAAACTGTACGTTTTGTTCAATTTCGCAAGCCAATTGAAGGAAATTTGAATAAGCTGAGTGGCTTGGAAAAATACTTTGGCAAAAACCCTACTTCACGGTTTAATAATTTCTTTAATTTAATTTTATAGGACTCCATGGTAAACAATATTTTTTAAGAAAATTTATTTTTTTCCTCTTTAACAGTGAAGAACAAATTCTTAGGATTTCTTACTTTTGAGTATGCAACATACAACTGGCCATGTATAAATATTTCTTTCTAGAGCCAAATTCCAACATTTTGAAGCATTGGCACTTACAAAGTAATGAAAACCCCTAAAAAGACACCAAATAGAATTGTTTTCACTCAAAAACAATTGGTTTCAGCTAGTTTAGGTAGCTTAAATAAAGTTATATTAAAAAACAATTAATACTGTATTTTATATCCCCCTTATCAGTTTACACTTCTCCCAAAAATTTGGTTTCAATCAATGTATGGCCATTTTAGAGGGTGTAGAAGTGAACTAAAGGAATTCAAAGAATTTTATATATATATAAATAATTATTGCTCTACTATCAGTATTGAGCACTCTTTTGAATTAATGCTGCGAACGTTAGAATTTATATTTTTAATCTCGTTACATTCGGAATTTTATATATAGATACATAGGAAAATACTTTTCTATCATGTAATATTGGTCTACGTGAATTTTAGTAGACAATACCAAAATATACTATATGCACTTACTATAAAGAAAGAATCAAGGGTAGATTGTACTGTGTATGTCATCCCATGTAGCTGTGTCAGGAAATATAAAAGGTAAAATAATTTCCCAATGCATTTTTACAGTAAAATTATTTGTCTATATTTCTGAGATCAGGTATTGTAACTATTTACATTATTTAGAAAATTGTCCTTATTTTTACTGTCATATTCACAATGTTTCAGCCATTTTATGCTCTGGCCTTCTTCAGGTGATATACATTTGAATTTCAAACCAAACCCTTTATTTAGTCCACTGGGTGAGATTGTTCTAGTTCCACGTGCCATGCCTTTTCTGGATATCTCAGTTTTCAGTTAATTCCCTTTAGTAACTCAACTCTTCAAGATTTTGTTCATCTCTGATATGGCCAAGTACTGAACTCACAACTTACTTCAACCCACGCTTTTATCATTACACATTAGATCAAATTCTGCAGCAACATTTTCAGGGAAATTAACATCAAGACTTTTACAAATGTCTCTTGAGTTTTTCATGTGCAACACTATTCTGTTCAAAGGCTCTTGTCATTATGTAACTGCTTTCCTCCAGAACAATTGATCAAGAACTATTTTTTACCAGTAATTTCATATTTTGTATGTATTTAGAAATTCTTCACAAAATACAGAAAAGAATCTGCAATATTATTGGTCCTGACCTGGCATCTCACCTTCAGTCACTTTGCTACTACTGTAATGTAATTTGCATGAGCTTTTTGTATAAATATATTTTATGGTAATTATTCTGATGCATTTTCCGCCAAGATACCTAGACTTTATGAATTTAAGCGCAGTATTAGATTGGTGACAAGGTCTCATCATTTTATAGATGAAATGATTAGATGTAACCATAAGCTCTATGCTAACGGTTTTTTTTTATCTCACACTTCTCACTTGTCAAACACTTTGCCAGCTTCTTGCTTTCCTCTCAACTTTGATCTTCAAAAATTTAAATGCAATGTCAATTGTTATCTTCTGTCTTCTTAATTTCTGTTCTTTTATTGTTCTCTCACCCTAATAGTGATTTTTTTCTCTTATGCTCAGTAACATTTTGTATTTTAGTGGCTTTATTGCCTTGCTTAAGGTGAAATGATTAAAAAAAAAATTCTGGAATAAAAATATAAATATAATGCCACTGAACAATGTAGCTTTCTTAGCTGCATTGGTAAAATGACAGAGAAAATGAGAAAAGAATACTGAACTGTTACATGATATCGGTCCTCCTATATGGCAGTGAATGCTAGACAATCTCCTCACTGATGAAGAAGAGACTTGAAGTAATAGAAATATGATTCTATAGAAGGATGTTGAGTATACCATGAACCAAATATGTGAATGACAAAGTTTTTGAGAAAATGAAAACAAATAGGAAACTTACACTTAACATCAGGAAGAGACAATTGAAATTTCAAAGGCACAATTAGGAAAGGGGGCTTGGAAAATATGATACTCCCAGGACAGACTGGAAGTAAGAGGGACAGAGGAAAACAACACATAGCCTACTAAGTGAGCTTGGGTAAATGGATAGTAGAATAAGGTTGAGGAGAAATAACAAAAAGACAAAAGTTATTAAGAGCAATGAAGGACAGGTGACTGTGGAGAGGCATGATCACCTCCGTCTTGAGGGGACACAGCGCATAGAAGAATGAGCTAAAATAAATGGAATGTGGAACATGATTTAGGAGAAATAACAGAGAGACAGAATTTTTAAAGAACTATGAAAAATTGTGGAGAGCCATAATCGCCTATGTCTTGAGGGGGACATGGCATGCAGAAGAATGTAGAAATGTGTTGCAAGATCAAATCTTGTCAAAAGCAAGTTCTTTATTTGAATAATATTACTCCTTTGATTTAACAAGAGAATATGCATAGACACAGTTTAACCTTAAGGATTTTGCTCTTTACAAAAAAAAAAAAATCATTTGCATTTCCCTTTGTGACAATGACATTTGGGTGATAAACAGATTTGACAAGAGAGAAATTTAGAGTTGACACTTGAGGATCATAAAAACAGTTAATTAGTCAATTAGAGAAAGAAATTAACTTACCCTGATCTTTAAGAGTTTCTGATATCACAATACCATCTTCAGGAAATTTGGCAATACTTGTGCCAGAAGCATAATATACTATTAAGAGAAAAAAAAAAACAATATATATATTTTTTTCCTTCACTGGTCAATGATTTATATATATAGGCAGCATATCTTCCTTCAAACAGGTTTCCCTGAATAATATAGACAACGATTACAGTTACAATAGGTTTGTCTTTGTAATTCACTGCTGTGGATGATCTGAGAAGAGATTGAAAGTACTTAGGTAAGAAAAAACTATGGCAACTTCATTAAAATAAAGATACTGATTAGAGAACTAGAAAGGATTATTATAAAAATAGACATAATATGTCTATATTATTCAATGAAACATGTTTGAAAATTATATATATATATATATATATATATATATATATATATATATAAAATAATACCCTAGAGCTTCATGCCATTTGCAATCTTCAGGTGCAATTTTATATATATATCTCAACCATTACTCACATTTCTTCAATGGACTAATTATTAATTTTTGTATTTCTTAGTATATCCTTATTTCTTTCATTTCTTTTGATTACCTATTAGTAATAGTATTGATTGACATTAAAAGACATTAATCATTTCTGAATACATTGTCAATGTTTAAAAGATTGGATAAAATCTGTTAAATTGTCCAATTTTAATTTCCATCAATAAGAGTAGAAAGGTTCAACTATCATCCGGTTCACATTCCTCCCTGGTCATTTTTAACTGAAGTAGAGGTTTATCCCTTGTTTCCTGTTTAGGATTGGGTTTTCGTTTTTTCTAAAGTGTAACTCAAATCTATGCTTCTCTGCAATTTTATTTACTATTTTTCCCTCAATAGGAGTAGATAGGTTTACCTATTGTCCGGTTCACACTCCTCCCCAGTTCTTTGAACTGGAGTAGAGTTTTACCCCTTGTTTCCTGTTTAAGACTGGGATTTCTGGTTCCTTCTAAAGTCTTATTCTTCTCTTTCATTTCTGGTGGCCATTGCATGGTGGCATTATCTACTTACCTGGCATGGTACTTTTTACTCTGTAATCCTCAAGTGGCTCTTGGGCCTTGTACAGGGTGAACATCATTCTAAGTACATAACCTAACCAAGATCACAGGCAAATTACATTCAGACTAAAAAGCCACTGTTTTTGTTTATAGAGAGAGGGCTGTAAAGACTTAATATATATTAACTCAATACATATCTTTTAAAGTCATTACAGACTTCCTTCTGCAAACAAAAAGTCAGACATTTTTCAGTTTTTTAATAGAAGGTGGAGTAATGGTTAGCAGCTCGGATTAAGGAATCAGAAAGCAGAGTACAATTCCAGTTGGGTTTATTACATTCACCTATGGGGTAATACCCTTGGGAAAGGGTATAAATCCACCTCTCCTCCCCACCAGCTAGGGATGGGGGCTGGATCCAATAGCCTTGGATGGCTACCAGTCTAGGAGAATTAAAACCACCTGCTGCCTTGTAGGTCCTGCCTCTTTATGTAAGAGTCTAGAAGAAGATAACTTCAAAAATAAATCCACTTATGAGAGGAGGAACGGAGTAACTTCAACATCCTTGAACCTACAAGCCATTATGCTAATTTGGCATCAATGTCACCATAAACCAAAATTGTGGCACAAAATTCACTAACTGAATAAAATGATGAATGAATTAGGACAGAAGAAAGTTGTATAATATTAAAACATGTTTTTACTCACATTCATGGTCACCAAGAGAAAGGTCTCCTTCAAACACTTGATCACTTTAAAATAAAACAAATGCAGAACATTAAGCACTTGATAATTTGAACACATTTACAATTTCAACAATGAATATTTAGGAAAAATTGTTTTTAGTAGATTTATGCATTTCATTTTTGCCTAAAAAAAATGGGAGATGTGCTTTTTTTAATAACGTTTTTTATTTCAATCTTAATTAATTGACAGTTATCATAACTTTGTACCTCACTTTATAATATAGATGTTTTTTTTAAAAAAAAAGAAAAAAAAACACTTCATTTTTTGAGATCATATGCTAACAGTTTCTCCTCACGCTCACTTGTGGAACTCTCTCCTGAATTTTTGCTTCCCATTCAACTTTGATCTTCAAAAATTTTAAGTCAATATCAACCGTTATCTTCTGTCTTAATTCTTCTTCTTTTATTGTCCTCTCTCCTTAATAGTAATTTTTCTCATATTCTCTAACATTCAGTAACACCTTGCATCTTAGTGGCTTCCTTGCATGTGATCTTCCAGTAAATGCAATGTCAATCATTATCTTTTGTCATCTTAATTCTTTTATTATTCTTTCTCCTTGGGGTGAAATAATTAATTTTTTTTTCTTTTTAAATAATGGAGCAATTATGGAAATTTTTATCAGTAAAAACACATTGTAAGAATTTTTTCAAAAATCAATAGGAACATGGTATTTTTTTGTTGTTTCAACTCAATATGATAAGAATAAAAATACTACTGTTCTTCATTGCATATACACAAAATTGAAATATCAAATATATATATATATATATATATATATATATATATATATATATATATATATATATATATAAAAAAAAATTTTACATTTTGCTGACGTTTTTCGTCTTCCGACTTTTTTCGAGGCAAAAATGAAATCGAAATGTTTTTGTTGTTTTAGTTACATTAAAATTCAAAATTAAAAAGATAGACGCTTGTGTCTAAGCCTTTTTTCTGGTTAATGTAAATTACCTTTATAGTAAGGGATTATTATTTTTTTTTTTTTTTTTTTTTTTCCATGTCGACAATATAATTAAATTCCCAGATGAATTCTGTGGACAAGACAGATTGATATCAAATAACAATTGGAAAAAATCTTACATTTTGCCGACGCGTTTCGTCTTCCGACTTTCTCAAGGCAAAAATGAAATCAAAATGTTTTTGTTGTTTTAGTTACATTAAAATTCAAAATTAAAAAGATAGATGCTTGTGTCTAAGCCTTTTTTCTGGTTAATGTAAATTACCTTCATCTGGGAATTTAACTATATATATTAATCATTTCACCCCAAGCAAGGTAATAATGTGGGGGTTACAGCAAATGAAAAAGAATAAGAAGACTTTAATGAGAGGGAGTGAGGAAAGGACAATAAAGGAACAAGGTTCAGGGAGACGAAAGATGGTGATTGATGTTACATTTAAATTTTTGAAGATTATAGTCATCAGGGAAGCAAGAAATTGGAAATAGAGTTCTCCAGATGGGAATTGCAAGAAAAAATTGTTAATTAAAAAAATTGTTAGAGTAGAAGTGGCACTTGCTAGTTCAACATTAAACAGTGAGACCTAGTTGCCAATCTAGTAGCAGGTTTAAATTCAGGCACCAGGGAAAAAAGATCATCAGAGCAATTGCCATGAAAATATTCGTAGAACAGAGGTAAGCCAAGTGATGTTGGTGGGAAAGTGACTGGAGTCGAAATGCCTGGTCAGGATTAATTGAAAAAATTTTCTGGCACCACACAGTGAACCAACTTTCCTTGCTGTAGACAAAAGAAATTGATTCAATATAGACGCTCCACTTTGTGTCGGTGGAAAAGACGAGGCCAAGAAGATGATGAGTGTAGAACAGAAGTGGTGGTAGAATGCCAGTTTTTGATCAGCTCTCAAAGAGGATTGTTGATAAATTTTAAAATTTAAAGGCTGAAGTAAAATGATTTATCTGCAAGACAATGAATAAAATGAAATTTTTAATCTGATTTACTTCATTTTTATTGGATTATTTAATATTTCAAAATTTATAAACAATCTTCTTTGATGAGAACTGATAAAAAAAAAAAACACAAACACTTAACCTTTAGCCTTCTACATTATTAATATTACTTCCCTTTCAACTGCATTCTTTTTAAATGACTCAATTGCAGTATCCTTACTGTTAATTTCACTAAAAGTTGTTTTCTGTTGCCATATGAAATTCAAACAAATTCAAATTCAAGTCATCTTCAATAGCAGCATAAATGCTTTGTACAGAAAATGAAGTCACATTCAGTGTGATAAAGATTAAAAGAAATTATAGCAATCATTTCATTTGGTGTGTTAGGATGTTAACCTATCCCATACACCTAGTGTATCATCTGTTGGATACAATATGTGTTGCAGCATTAATAGAATACTGAATTTGTGTTACTATTTTATTAGTTAATATTAAATTTTCCAATTTTATCAGAGGTATAATGGTTCAGCTTCAAGATGAAATCGAAATGTCTGGTTTTAAATTAGGTACTTCCACTAAAATTGCAATACTAAAAATTAAATTTTATAAATGAAAAAGCTTTCTTGAAGTTTTATTTTAGCATCAATAGAAAACTAAATGATTAAATTTAATATTTCCAGTAAGCAAAATACTCTGGTGTATTTCAAACAGAAGTTATATTTGATTGGAATCAAATTTTTTTTTCTAAAATAGCTGATTAGCGCCCTTTTTTAGTCGTCTTTCATTCCAATGTCATTCTTTGTATTAAAAATTTTCAAAAATAAAATATACTTTTCTGAAACTTTATTTGAACAATATGAGCTGATTTAAAGTATAATTAATCTGATTTGAAACAAATATTATTTACTTTAAGTTGAGAATAACAGAAATGGATTATTAAAACAAACAGTAGCAGTGATTTACATGCTTTTCATCATTCATCAATCACTTAACAAGCACTGATAAGGTGTTGACAGTTTTATTGTTGTTCTATGTTAAAACATAATTTAAGAAAATGAAAAGTGAACACTTTTTATATAATTTTTAAGTACTCAGTAATCTTAAAAATGTTGGAAATAATATCTGTAATCTAATTTTATGAATGTTGACTTTAAATTTACTATAGTTATCGATCTTATTTTCTGATAATGTCATGTATGGTCACCCATAATTTTAAAATGGCCATGTTTATATACATAAAAAAATTTTTTTTTTATTATTTTAAAAATCTTGATACATGATGATTTGTATTAAGCTTTTCAAATTTTGCTTAGTAAATATAATCTTCACTAAATAACTTAATAACCTAACAAGGAGGAAATTTTCAAGAAGTTTTTAAAAAATTTTGAAACTTTATAAATTATTATAATTAACAAAAAAATAAAAACAATAATTTACAATTCAGAGCAAATTTTCAGGAAATGAGTAACTGTTTAAAAAAAAAAAAATGTATGATTTACATTCTCTAAGGAGTCCTGCATTTAACTAATAAAACAAATTTGGAGGATGAAATTTAATTTTTAGAAATTTCATGAAATTAACTAAGTAATATTTTTACCAATATTTTCTAAAAATAATAATTTCAAAAATAAATTCATTCATTTGTGAATAAGTCCTGAAAGTTTCGTTAAATTCTGACAATTATTTGATTTTTGCAAGAATTTCCAAAATGTGTTATTTCACCAGAAAAAAGGCACTAAAATTTCCATAGTCAACTTTGTTACACTGTTGTTGATGCATTAAAAAAAAAAAAAAAAAAAAAAGAAGAAGATTTTTAACCAAAATTTCAAACATGCTAAAAAGGAGAAAAGAATTTTGAAAAATAATTAAAAAATACTTTGGTCTTTCCTCTTAATAATAACAAATATTTTGACAATAAAACTTTGTTTTTATTAAATGTGAGGCTTTTTTTCATCATGCTATGCTGTTCTTTAGCGAAAAAGTGGAGGTACCTATTTTAAACTGTTTCATGGTTTTGTACAGAAGAAAATGGTGATATACTCCAAAGGTTTCCATGTTACATGCTACTTTTGTGAGAAAAAAAAAAAGACAGAACGAAAAATACTTTACCACTTAATGAAGTTGAGAAGCTCATGTAAATTAGCTTTTACTAACCAACCGTGTTAAGTTTGCTTGGAAGAGTAGTAATTCTGTTAGGAAAGGTAATATAGGGAAAAAGCCTGGGCATAGATTAATATTTGGATAATATTCAATGGAGGCACTCTCAAAGATTTTCCTTCTGAATGAGTTATTTTCTTTTTTAAAATTAAAATTATGGTTGAATTTATTTCTATGTATGACTCGTGCATTAGTTGTTTTTTGTGAGGTCTCTTTTGTGCTTAGATGCATTTTTTTAAAATTTCTGCTTATTTCTCCAATAAATGCCGGATTCAGAAATTACTACCCTCCCAAGCAAACGTACACAACTGTATCAAGAAATCAAAAGAAAATGGTTGAATCCATCAACACAACAATAAAAACAATATTTCCACATATGACAGTACTTGACGTAATTTTCAGTTGACAATATTGTTTTCTAAATTCTTCCAGCTGCTAAGGACATTTTGTTTTGTTGTTAATAATTACTTTGTTTTAATTCATTTCATTTTGGCCTTGAAAAAGTCTGCATTGGACAAAACGCGGCGGCTATTATTATAGTTTTCCTATTGTCTTTTACCTTTAAAAATAGAAAGGTATGCTAATCCATTTCCATGCTCCACAAATAGCAAACCCAGAATGGGTCCAACAATCTGCTTTAAAAGTAACTGACATTTCCTACTGAGGTAATTTTGAAAGGAGGCTGTGTGTGTGTGTGTGTGTGTGTGTGTGTGTGTACATGGAGATTTGGAATTTGTGAACTTTTATTACACAGATTTACTAATTGAGAAACCTGTTTTCATAAAAAAAAAAATGTTTAAAAGAAAAAGATTTTAATTTCAGCCAAAAGCAGTAATGGCTGCTCAGTCAAAGAATGGCAAATGTTTCCTTGTAGGAAAACAGCTAATATTACCATGGCCATTTTTAAATTTATCAATGATCCTCATTGATGAAAACTGAATAAAAAAAGCTGGCCACTGAAAAAGAATTAAGTCAGAAATCATGGTCCAAATGCAAAATGAATAACAACTCTCTAATAAACAGAATTAAAATTTGCAATAGAAAGCTAACAAACAGGTAAGAAAGCAAAAAAGTTTACAAACCATGAATTAACATCTACACAGAAAAGTGAGGTCAGACAAGTGAAAACAATTTTCTGTCTTCTAGACAACGCAGATCTGGACTGAGGTTACTTACCTTAGCCTCCCCACAAGACAGGATGTGGCAGAAGGCCATTTTTTACATGGGGTGATTCTGAACCCGTACGCTTGGTCAAAAATTCCCTGCATGCATGGGGTCAAGCTTGTCTACCTCCCCAGACGTGACTCTGCCCTTCATCTGGGTTCCTCTCTGCCTGAAGGCAGAGAGTTCAACAAGTCAGCCCAAACCGCATAAAACGGCAGATCTGGATTGAATCAAGTCAAATTGTAAATTGATCTATTTTATTGACTAAGAAAAGTATCCCAGCATGCATTTTGTGGACTTTTGCCACAGAGGAGGGGGGAAAACTTTAGCAGTCATTCCTGCACAGATTGGAAATCAACAAGAATTATACCAAGTTTCATTTGGCAGTTAGTTTCAATGTCTATGTTTCTTCAAAGCTATATTTAGGTTTTGTATCCTTACGACATAGATAATTATAAATTTCAGTTCAAACACTGGGTCCAGTCAATCACCCATAAAATAAATTTACCTAAAGGCTATTTTGCAGAAAATGTGATGAGAAATGCTTAAAAGATCCCAAAAGTCAGCCGATGGAAATGAAGTTTCCCTAGTAAAATCCAGGTGTTTGGGATCAGACTTACCTGAATGCCATGCCTAACGGGGCTAACAGATCATTAATAGCCGGAATGTTTGCTCCACCCGTGTCAGGCATCCACCATTGTCTGAAATTTCAATATCAATCAATTATAGAAAGCGATAGGCAGATGAATGTAGATTTTGTTTTGTTCTTTTCAATAATATATAAACATCAAATCATCCACGTTTTTAGAAACTCAAGTATTTTACAAGTACGTTTTTGTATATTATTTTAATCTTGAAACATTTACTCACCAACAAAATATCACAATTCTAGTTTGTCTATGCATAATTTGGTTGATAATGTGTGTGTATGTGTACATTTGATCGTCTATTGGGCACTTTTATTTATGTCTGGTAGTTGTCCACATGTTGACTGGGAGAGGTTTTGTTTTCTGTGGAAAGAATTTAGGTTACACTGGTTGTGGTTGTAAGTAGACAGATGGTGGACTCTCCCATTGTATTTGATGTATGAGGGTCAGTTCCTAGGAACCAACAGCCTAGACACCAGCGCATATGATTTGATTATAGTGGTGAAGGCTTTTTGCAGTACCAACCACACTTTTTGAAGGGCTGAATACAGAGACCTGGTGCACTACATGCTACAAGGTCTACCAAATGACCCTCCACAGGTTTTGAATTCAGAGTTGTCCTTCTCCTAGACCAGTTGCCATCCAAGGCTATAGAACCCAGTCTGTCCTGATATTTACCCATAGCTGGAGGGAGAAGAGGATTAATACCTTTCCCAAGGGTATTAGCATGTAAGTGAATGTAATGGATTCATCTGGAATTTGAACTTGGCTCCCCAATTACTCAATCAGAGCTGCTATTCCACTGTGCCACCTTAGGTAGACACACACATATATATATATATATATATATATATATATATATATATAAAATAGTTTTAAAAACTAGGAAACCATTGATTTTAATATTAAAAGTCTCTAGAGCCCTTTCAGCCAACATCTCATCAGGAGACAATCGTTGGATTAGCTTAAATGAATAATAGCGATATTGAAGAGCAAAAAAGAGGGGAAACACAATAAAATAACAAACAAGTATATATACTTGTAACGAGGAAGGGTTATCGTGTAAATAAATAGCGAGGGACAGTTAAAATAAAATATCCCCCAACAATATATATATATATATATATATATATATATATATATATGGTGTTTGGGAAGCAAATCCTCTATTATATAAGTTTCATTAAAAACAACTGACAAGGTGCTGCAATTAATATTTTTTATTTAATTTTTCTTGTGTTCTTATAATTTTTTTCTTTTCTGGATGTAAATTATGTAGAAATTGCTCAAATGTTTTGTTTGTCCAAGCACTTTTGGCTACACTTTTAGCCATTATCAAGGATGATTTTATTTTTAATTTTAACTGAATGCATGGGTTGTTTTATGTATGTATCTAGAGTTATAGGAATGTTTTATTTTCCAAACACAGTCAGAACATTGTGGCTGCATTCATAGTTGATGTTATTGAGTGTTGACTTTTTCCTTTTTTTTTTTTTTTTTAATGCATTCATTGTTTTTAGCCTTATTTCTTTTAACGTGGATGAGGCTATTATATTTGTATTATCCCCAAGTATGTTGCAGTTTGGTAGGTTTCCATGTGTATTTAAATAAGAGGTGAGTAGCTGTCTAATATTTTATATATATATATATATATATATATATATATATATATATATATATATATATGTATATATGTATATCTCCTTTTCTTCTTCTTCACCCTTCTCTTTCTCTCCCTATTGCCAGTATGTACATAAGAGAGTTGTTTTTAAATAGAACATCTAATTTTAGTGCCTGGTGATGCCACGTTGGTAAAAACCATGACAGCAGAAAGATCAGTGTCCTAATTATTTTGTCTTAAATTGCCCTACATTTTCATTTTTTGGGAAGGTGTATTGAGCACTTTATTAATTAAGCCATTTCTTGGCAAATATTACTTTGATTTTGTAAATAATGCCTGTGTGTGTGTGTATATACAAACACACAGATGAGTGTATGAAAAAATTGCTGGAGTGCCCATCTACAAAATTCAAGATAATGAAAATAAAAAAAAAAACACAATTTATTTATTTTTAATATAAGTATTTTAATACAAGTAACTGGTCTGTTTTTTAATTAAACAGTATTAATTACATTTACCAGCCTGAATGTTTTGAGAAATTTTGTAGAAAATATGCATTCTTCAACAGGAATTGAACCTGTGTGTGTGTGTGTGTGTGTGTGTGTGTATGTATGTATAAGTTGTTATTATTGAGTGTTGGCTTTATCTTTTTTATTACTAATGTTTCCATTATTTTTAGCTTTTTTTTTTTTACTTGCATTATCAACTATGAACACAGTCACAATGTGCTGACCATGTCTGAAAAATATAACATTTCTATAACTCTAGATACATACATGAAACAATCTAAAAAGGTTGAATATAAAAAAGAAATCAAATAATTTCTATAAATAGTGAAGTAAATTACTTTGGGATATAGATTTTTTTTTTGTTTAAATGATTTTTTTAAAAAAAAAGAAACTCATTTAAAAAAATCAAAAATCTATATCCCAAAGTAATTTATTTCATAAAATAAATAGATATAATTGCCAAATAGTAAGAAATAAAGTAGATGGTATGGGAAGTCATTTAGAAACAATAGAAAAAAAAATGCAAATGGCAGTTACCCTTATGTGATTCTAAATTAAAGTCTAAACAACAGCTGTTTAAGTTCAGAACAGGATTATGAAATAGAAAAATTTCAAATTTAGCTGTTCTGGTATACCTTGTATTTTCATCATAGAACTTCACTTTTCTCATCACAGACACATTGTACCAATCAGCAAAGATCATCACAGACAATCCATGATCAATATCCCGTTTCAGCTTGGTCACCTCTTCAGGAAAATATTCCTCTTCAGCATCCACAACAAGCAGTGTGCCTGAAATATAACAAACCAATTGATAAAAATAATGTCTTTCTTTCACCTTCACTAATTTATCTTTTAATAACACTTTTTTCTTATTGCATTACAATTTAATATTACGTTTCACTAGCATTCTCTTTTTCATTCAACATTTTTCCTTAGTAAAAAAAAATTATAAAATAGAATATACAACCTTAATATGAGGTCTGATAAAAAAAAAATATATATTGAGACTAGTACTATAAAAAGAAAACTACAACACATATCAACTCAGCATTTAATCTCCTTCAAAATAATCCCCTTTTGAAACTACACACTTTATCCTGTGTTGTTGTATTTTTTTTTTGGTATAGTGAGCAGCTGCCTCGTCAAATTCTCTTGGATTTCCTCAATGTCTTGAAATCTTCAAGGAGGATCCAAATCTGCAGAGAACATGTTACCTCATCGATGATAACGAGCCGGTTCACCATTACCATCTCCCGAGCGTGCTGTATCTTCTCATCAACGGTAGAGGTTGACATGCATTTTGCTCCTCCTTCATGCATCACTCTTTGCAGCCACTATTGAACTTCTCGATCCACTCATGCACACTTTTCCATGGTAGTGCACTGTCACCATGTTGTGTTAAAAGCCTCTGATGAACTTCAGCCCAACACACTTTCTGACCAGTGAAATCAGATCACTACTCTTTGTTCCTCCTTGTCAAACACTGCTAGCAGAGCAGCCATGTTTACACTGTAAGAGTAGCAAGAAAACTGACACAATCAAACTCAAACTTCAATGACATGACCATTATAGTATCGTCTATAAACACACGTAAGCAGAAGGCAGACCTAAATATATGTTATGCCAAAAGAGCAAATAATTTTTGACTTACCCTCATACTTTCATCATGATGGATCTAATTGGGATATCTCTCTATGTGTGTGGCTCTTGAGCTTTACCTTTCTGTTTTCATAATGTATAAATGCTCACTGAGCTAAATATTGAGTTAATTTTGATTGTTTTGTGGCACATCAATGCCTTATGGGTCATTTAATAGTGAAATTTAATTTTTCTTGGGAGTATTAGCAATATCTTTTTCAAAAGTATATCTGGTATTATTTTATTTTTAATGTATTGCTGGTAATGTTTTTGTTTTTTGTTTATTTTTTTTTGTTTTGCTCTAAATTTTTTTTTTTACTATGAAAATGTATTGGTGGTATTTTTATACTTTCATAGTGTTTGACACCAACTTTGGGGTACTACCATTCCACATCAGGGTCAACCTGGGAACAACAGCAATTAAAAGGTGGTTCCACACTCCTCAAAACCCTCCCAATCAGTGGCCTTGCTGCTGGATGTAGTTGAACGTCATACTCAGAATGTATGGAGTTGATGTTCAAGTTCAAGTAAAAACCAATATTTCAAAACAGGCAAATCCTCCTCCACTTAGAAGAACTGTATGTTTTAATCATCCTACTCACAAAAATCAGTACATCTGTCTACTTGTAAAATCTGCAATCTCTACATGCAGTGTATTTGTGTGGATACATATATAACAATGTTGATTTTATTTTTTTTTTTAACAACAGACCATGATTTTAAAATCATTATTTTTTTTTTCAAAACAAAACTAATCCTTGAATTTTTCATGACACCAAACAGTCTTCACAATTCTTGTGTAAAAACTTCTGCTTCTTATAGAAACTATCTCGCTTGTTGGCTGTTGTTTGTAGCATGTGGGGGGTCCTTACTCTACTCAGTTCAGCAGTAGCCACAATGGATGTTATCAGCAGGAAACAACTAGATGTCCCAGAAATCATAAAAATGCAGACCTAACCCTATTTGGCCTCTTTTCCACTTTTCCTTTTCAGTGGCCACTACCTTCAACACACAGCTCAAAGGGCTATACACAACCTTTGCTGCAGAAGACACATAGCCTGTCCTGGCAGCTTGAGTTGAAATTTCACATTCCTCATTGGAACAAGCAGAAAAATCTCCCTTTCAAGACACTTATCCAAAAGAAAAACTACACACAACCCTTACTACAAAAGACTAGGCTTGTCCAAGCAGTTTCACACTCAGATTTGCCATACCTCGTGGGAACAAGCAGAGAAATTTCTCACTACATAACCTCTACTTTGTTAACCGGGAAACCCAACTATTTTTCCTGCGAAATACCACTATTTTGCACCGTCTCTTTCAACCACAAATAAAAGCTGTTCAACATTCATTTTGAGCCTTGGGTTTTGCTAATTCTACTCTCATTGCTGAGTGCACACAAATGCAAATGGAAAAAATTCCCACATTCTTTGTGGAAACAAGTTAATCCAAGAAATGTTTAAATTTTAGAGAAAATCATTTGTGATTTCTTATCCTTTGAAAGAAACAAAAGCACAAAGAACTCACCATACTGACTAGCATCAAAACACGTGTAAGGAGAACCTGAAATACACAAAGAAATTTTTAAAAAAAGGCTTAAAAGGATTATTCACATTTTTTCAGTCTGAAAAGAAAAAATTGTTGAAATTTTATCGAAGATGTCTAAATTAATTTCTGTAATTTTATTATTACATTCAGTCTTAATTAATAAATTTAATAGTGCAACGAACGAAAACTCCCTTTTCAACAGACAGAGAAGACAGAAGACAGGAGACTCCCTGCACTCCTGCACTCGACAGACAGGAGAGAGACTCCCACTCGACAGACAGGAGAGAGACTCCTGCACTCGACAGACAAGAGAGAGACTCCCTGCACTCGACAGACAGGAGAGAGACTCCCTGCACTCGACAGACAGGAGAGAGACTCCCTGCACTCGACAGACAGGAGAGAGACTCCCTGCACTCGACAGACAGGAGAGAGACTCCCTGCACTCGACAGACAGGAGAGAGACTCCCTGCACTCGACAGACAAATCTCTCTCATTCTCATCAAGCTCCTGTGAAATAAAGTAAAAACATGAGACAAGGAAGAACATTGTAAAATCAGATAACTGAAGGAATCAGCAGATATACTAAGCTATGCGAGCCTCCTCAGTAGGCCTAGCATAGAAATACGAAACAGGAGCCATTAATGAATAAAGTAAAAGGTGGGATAAAATATTCTCAATGTCAATTTGAAATTAAAAACAAATGATTACGAATTCATAATAGTATAAAGCAGAAAAGAAGCTATGTGGAGAAATCCAAAAACATGTCATTGGGATTCTATCAAAAGAAAATTTCATTTTTACCCAAATTTCCAATTTTCCAATGAAATTTTCACCCAAATTAGAACGTGAAAACGAAAAAAAAACACATGGGTTGAAAAAGAAGCACCATACCTAAAACTTCCACGAAATATCCACTGTTGCGTAAATGTTGGTACATATCTTTAAAATTTGTGTGGATGTGATCACCATTCCTGTTTACAAAATAAAACAAAAGTAAATAAGAAATAAACTTGCACAAATATAAATCGGTACAATGATAATATTAGGTACCTTTACTAATTTGCCAAAAAAAGAGCATACCATGATGAAAAAAGGCCCCAAACTTGATAAAAAAGTGAATATACATTTAAATCTGCTACCCCCACTTATTGCAAGTGATTATAAAGTAAGAATTGTAAAGTTCTTCTACACACAATGGATATTTTTCAAACTTCAGACTGTCACTATTTTTCCACCATGGCCTGTTCCTTGTTTGTCAGGTCAACAATTCCAATAAGTTTTTTTTTTTTTTTTTAAATTTACCCCAAGAAAGGCAATAAAGGCCACTGAGATGCAAGGGATTACCAAGTGTAAGAGAATATAAGAAAAAAAATATTATTAAAGAGAGAGAACAATGAAAAAACAGGAATTAAAACAGAAGATAACGATTGACATTGCATTTCAATTTTTGAAGATCAAAGGCAATAAAGTCACTAAGATGCAAGGGGTTACTGAATGTTAGAGAATACAAGAAAAATTACTGTTAAGGAGAAAGGACAATAAAAGAACAAGAATTAAGAAAACAGAAGCTAACAATTGACACCACATTTCATTGAGAGTGAAATAAGAAAAAGAAAACATTATTAAGAAGTAAGAACAATGAAAGAAGAGAAATTAAGAAAAAAAAAGATAACGATTGACATTGCATTTAAATTTTTGTCAGTGGGAAAGTGGCTAAAGCCAAGTGCCAGGTCAGGACCAATAACATTGCACATTCTTCTTTGGATTTTATCAAGAATCTCTACACAAAGAAGAATCTGAAATGTTATTGGTACTGACCTTGCATCTCGCCTTCAGTCACTTTATTAAAATATCAACGGATTGTCAAAAGCTTACCAATCAAGGGGATCATTTTTCATCCGTAAGTTGTCACGTGGAAAATATCCTGGTGGATATCGAAGATTGTGGTATTGGTCCCATAAAATTCTTTTACTGGGGAAAAAAAAAAAAAAAAAGAAAACATTAGCGTGAGCAGTTTATATTTTATATAATAAAGAAACAATTTATACAAAGAATTAAATAACAATGTTCGTCATTAATCAAATTGACATTGCTATTTAATTCTTTTTATAAATTGTTTTTCATATATATATATATATATATATATATATATATAAGTAATTCATTGAGTGTGAAAGAAACCTCAACAGAATGCAGAAAGCACTGGACGGCCATTTCGTCCTATATTTGGGACTCATCAGCAGTGCGCATCCACTTCCGAGAATTGAAACCCTGACAGTTAAGTTGTCAAGCAAACATCATACCAACTGTTCCACTGGGCCTCAGTGACGAAGATGGTATTACTTAAATATAATTATCAAATCCTCCTAATAATTTCTATCATATATATATATATATATATATATATATATATATATATATATATATATATATAAAAATTGAAAAATGGCACACCATAGAGGTTAATTATGTTTTAAGTATCTAATCTGTTTTGATATTTTCTTATTTTTCAGAAACAATATGTCACCAGGCTTCACATCCTTGGATTTTTTTTTTTTTTTTTTTTAAATCAGTTGTTTATCAGATACAGCCAAGAAATATCAAGGAACTTAAAGAAAGAATTAAATATTAATGAAGTAAAATGACAGCGGAAACTCTGATGTGTTAATGAATCATGCGGGTACAGAATTGAAATCTGTTTTGAAAAAGGAGGACATTTTGAACAGCACATATAACAATTAAATCACTTGTAAATGAACTTTTCATGTGTAATTATACTTTCAATAAATTATCCCTAGAATGCGCAACTTTTGCCTCCCTGCTGTACATAGTTTTTGCCCAGTGAAGATTTTCCCTGGTATATTCATTACAGAAAACGAGAGGAAAAATACTAGTCACAAACAATGGTTGACAATGCCTTTAATAAAAATTCAAGATAATATTACTTATTTTCTAATTATCTACAGCTCTATCATGTTGAAACCTGTTTTCATATGATCATCAAAGTTAAGCAATGTCAAGCCTGGTCAGTACCTAGATGGGTGACTGCTGTGGAATATCAGGTGCTGTAAGCTTGGATGTGCAGGTGTTTACAAAGGGCTTATGGCCATATCACATTGAAACATCAGTTCCTGTACAATCACAAAAGTTAAACAACATAAAGCCTGGTCAGTACCTATATGGGTGACCACTTGGGAATATCAGGTGCTGTAGGCCTGGATGTGCAGTTGATGTAATGAGCTTAGGGCCATATTATATTGCAATGCTAGCTCTTGTATGATCACCAAAGTTAAGCAACATTAAGCCTGGTCAGTACCTAGATGGGTGACTACTTCAGAATACCAGGTTTTGTAAGCTTTGATATGCAGGTGCTGTAATGGACAAGGGCTTGGAATTGGAATCAGACAGCCAAGCTCCACAATTGGGTTTCTTACCTTGGGAAAGGTATTTATCCACCTCTTCTCAGCTCTGGGTTAATTAGTAGAACTTGTATCAGTAATTCATTATTATCTCCAAAACATTCTTACCATCTAGAAATATTTTCTGGTTTTAAATAATCTTAAAAGGTTGATAAACCATAAAAAACAAATCAATCAATCAATTTTATAATTGCTATAGAATGGCAGTCAGAGTAGTTGTGATAAAAAACAACTACAATTAAAAGGGTAGAAATATGAACTGAAAAATATTAATAAATAATTGTAACTGATGTTTGTAAATTCCATGAAATGGATCAAATTTTACCTCCGAACAGGTGTTGGAATAATTTTTACCCGAACAGGCAGTTTGACAGTAGAGACACGAGGATTTTCCTCTCCTTCCTGGAAAAAATAAAAATTCATTTTCAAAAAAGGTTTTTCAAAGAAAGATTAAAAGGGTTCTTGAAATATGCAAAGTTTAAAATTTGCACAAACTTTAAGTTTTTATTTTTTTTTTTTATTATTTCACAACCCCAAGCAAGGTGATAATGCCACTAGGACGCAAAGAGAGGTTACAGGGAGTGAAAGAGAATGCAAAAACTTTAGTGAGGAGATGTGAGGGAAGGACAATAAAGGAACAGGGTTCAGGAAATCAGAACATGGCGATTGACATTACATTTAAATTTTTGAAGATTGTACTTATCAGGGAAGCAAGAAATTAGAAGGGAGTTCCACAGGTGAGAAGTGCAAGAACTGTTAGAAGTGGCAGTTGCATCTATACAGTTCAACAGTAGAATGGTGAGATCTAATTGTCAATCTAGTAACACCCTTAAATACATGCAGTCGAGACATGAAAGAAGAAAGCTCATCGGCACAATTGCCATGCAAACATTTGTAGAAAAGACAGAGGGAAGCTACATCGTTGGTAGAGAAAGTGACTGAAGTCGAGATGCCAGGACCAATAACATTACAAAACCTTCTTTGGATTTTGCTTAATTTCTAAAGGTTAAAAATGTCTAACTTGGTGATGTGTTGATGTCGTTCGCTTTTTTTTTGATGAGGGAAAATGATGCAGACAAAATGTAAACATGAGTGTTCTAACAGAATGACCAACATATGACATGGTGTAATGAGCAATGTGCACACAGCAGGTAGGTAGGTATGAAGAATAAACAAAGGTGAATTAATTTTTGAATTTTTGCAGCACAGAAAAATGATTTTTGTTATCACCTGGCTTTTGAAAAGGTCAACAAAAACCAAAGAAACTTACCTCAGCTGGAGACTCAACAGTGACAGTGACAAGTCCTTGGGCTATCCCCTGCCAGTTGGCAGCACTCTTCCCAACGGCTATGGCAATGGCCAAGTAGCCTGACCAGGGCCAAAGGGTGGTTGAGTAAGAGAAGGCAACCTCTATGTAGTTGCCAAACTGAGGTGCATAGGGCTTCCAAAGAGGCTGCAAAAGATAAAAATGCATTACAAAATGATTTTAATAAAAAAATTCATTTCAAAGTGATTATGCTATAAAAACGTGTTGGGAAAGGATTTTACTAAATAAAAATTTTACATTTGGAAATGATTATACTATAAAAATGCATCAGGAAAGGATTTTACTACAAAAATGCATTGGGAAAGGATTTTATTATAAAAAAAAGACTATAAAAAGATCAAATTCAATCATCATTTCATTTGACTTCATTTTAAAATTTCCTTTATTTAAAATAATCAGAATGTTTCAAGAATTAAAACTATTCCAGCATTCAGAAGAATGTTGGAACAGTTTTAATTCTTGAAACCTGGTAACATATTTGAAAAATAAACAAACAAAAAAAAAAAAACTCCAGTCTTCACTTACTTTATCTACAATATGTCCTGTCACACCCATTCCATTTAAGATTGTCACCTGGAAAAGAAAATCGCCCAGTTGATTTCAAACAGAAACAAATACTTTGGATAAGTGGAGAATACGAATTACTGCTGATATTTAGAGTTTGTTTCTCCCTTGAAAATAAAATCCTTTCCTCAGAAAGCTTTGAAACTCTGGGTTATCATATTGGTTTTCCTCTGCTCCACATTTGTTCACAACAATCTCTTGTCTTCTTTTAAGCTGCTTTACTTTGAAAGTCATTAACACAACCAACTACATCAACTTTTCACACACACACACACACAGCAAAATATTTTACAGTGAATAGCATTGACTAGTTTTAACCTGTGGAACTTTCATGGTTTTCCTATTCAAAAGTTCTGATGAATCTTAATTCTTCAGTGAATGATTGAATATACAGTAAGAACTTAAATTAACAGTCCCAGAATCTATTTTTCGATCTGTATAATAAAAAATAAACTAAAATAGGTGAAGAAATGGGGTAGGGCGTAGAATATTAAAGGGACATAATAAACGTGAGTAGTCTCCCTTGCATCAGGAGATTTTTTTTTTTTTTTTACTTGAGACTTGATTTGAAAAACGATGTATATTGATCGGCCTTGTGACGAAAATAGTTAAATACAGGTTGAGTATCCTTTATTCGAAAAACCACAAAAATCCGGAATTTTTTCAGGTGCTGCCATGAATTGCCAAAAATGGAAAATTTCAGAAAGCACTGGAAAGGTTCCTAGGTGATGTACAGCTGTTGTAAGTAACCTCGTCTGCCTTGGGCAATGGTTTTTTTAATCCCACTATGTAGTCTACATTGGCACCAGTTTTTTTTTTTTTTTTAGCATTCATCACAGCAACACCTTCATTCATGGATTAATTACCAGGTGTTTTGTGCTCAGTAAAGATATTATTCAAAATGTCAAAAAGTCCTGCATTTATATATATTTTTGTTAAGTAGTGATCATGTTTTCTGTACCCCTACAGAAAGTACAAAACATTTTTACATGAAATCTTAATTTCACCACTTAAAAATCTGTGTGAGTATTACATAACTAATTACCTCTATCTGTATGTACACAAGATTTATCAAATTTTATATAAAACCACTTTCAGGGTACACTATTTACATTGTTCGGACTATCACCCTCATTTTTGTTGCCATATTTATCAACGTATCATTGTACATTCCGGCCTTCTTCAGGTGGTTGGAATGTCAAACTGAACCCTTTATTTCGTTCACTGGGGTAGACTGTTCTACTTCCACGTGCCATGTCTAATGGATGTCAGCTATCAGTTATCTCTTGTTAATTCCTCTCTCCAACTTCTCCATTGCCTTAACCAGGTATTGAACTCACAACTCTTTGGGTCCCGCCATTGGATCTAACTAACGCCTTTATCCACTATGCCATGTGTCCTTAAGAACTTATGAAGAAAAAAAAAACACTCTTAAGGAGAAAGAACAATAAAGGAACAGGAATTAAGTAGACGGAAAATAACAATTGACATTGCATTTCAATTTTTGAAGATCAAAGTTGACTGGAAAGTAAGAAGCAAGAGTTCTACAAGTGAGAAGTGTGAGAGAAGAAACTGTTAGCATAGAACTTACAATCACATCCATTTCAACTGTAAATTGCTAAGACCCTGCCACCAATCTAGTACTGTGCTTAAATTTATAAAGTCTAAGCACCATAGAGAAAATTTTGTCAAGATAATTACCATGAAAGAATTTGTTTAAAAAAAAAAAAAAAAAAAGCACAGTGAAATTATTATTAAAGAAATTATCCCCTGCTGAACATGAAAAATATGTAAACTATATTTTGCCAAAGAAACTGAGAGAAATAACTTTTGATGAAATTGTCCTAACACTATCAAAAATCTTTGGTGATAGGTGTTCATTGTTTAATACATGTTGGCAATGTTTCAATTTAGTAAAGTCCGACGAAGATTTTGTCATGTACTCAGAAGTTGTGAATCGGGAATGCAAAAAATTCAAATTAAATGAACTCCTGATTTGTTTAAATGTCTGACATTAGATGTTAAACCCTGAACAAATAAGGACAGAGATAAGATCCAGGACATTTCCTAAATTAGAAATGGATCCAAAATTAACTCTCCCAGAGCATAGCAAAAGAGTGTCAACGTACTGTGAATTTGAAACTTGATACCACGAGGATTAAGGAAAAAGACAATTCACAGGTACATTGTGTCCGAACAACTAAGAGGAAAAACTACAAAAGTTTTTCATCTCCTAATAGAACTATAAGGAAAGACTGTAAACCTCTCTCAATACCTAATATTTGCCATGGCTGTGGAGGTAAATATTTTAAGAGTGATTGTTTCTTCAAAAACAAGAAATGCTATGAGTGTGAGAAATTAAGACACAAAAATATGTTGCAGATCCAAAAAATGGAGAAGAAAAATGCATATGAACATAATAAATACATGCAGTAATGATAAGAAACCAAAAAGGCAAATTAATAACACTTCATGAAAGAGGAAATATGCTTTGATGCAAATTAATGATGTGAAAATTAAATTGCAATTAGACACAGGATTGGATATCACCATTTTTAACAAACAGACTTGGAGGAAAATGGGTAAGCCCAGTTTATAAACTTTCGATAAAATTGCTTATGGAGTCTCAGGGAAAAGATTAAACATTTTGGATAAATTCAGCTGTAACATTTCTTTTGTTGGGAAAATGAGAAGTGCGGTAGTATTTGTGTTAAAAAATACTGCTAATTTGTTTGGTACAGACTGAATTGCATTATTTGATCTATGGGATGTTCCTATTAACTCTTTCACAATAAGGTAAATATTGTTGCCAGTACTAATACAGCAACTGAAACACTGAAAGTGAACAGAAAAGGAGTTTTTCAAAAGTTTTCTCTGAAGGTCTAAGGACATGCATGAAAGTAAAAGCTAAGTTTCAAGTGAAAGACAATGTAATGCCAACATTTAAACCAAAAAGTGTACCCTTTGCAGCTTTAGATCCAATCAACAATGACTTAGACAGGCTAGAGAAATTAAGAGTAATAGAAAGAATAGTCTATTCCAAATGGGCATCACCAACAGTCTACATTAAGAAACAGAATAATAAAAATTGTTATGACTAAATAAAAGTTTAAAACAACATAACTACTTGTTATCAAGTCCAGAGGAAATTTTAGCCAAATTGAATGGAGGTAAATGTTTCTCTAAATTGGACCTCTAAGACACATACTTACAAGTACTTGTGGATGAAGACTGTTCAAAATTATTAACTATTAACACCCATAGAGGGTTATACAAATTCAACTGTCTTCTTTTCAGTGTGAAGGAGTACCAAGCATATTCCAACAGATAATGGATACCATGCTTGCTGGTCAGGATTGTGCTCTAGCATATTTGGACGACATACTTATTAAAAGCAAAACCTGAAAACAAAATGCTGAAGATCTAAAGAAAGTCATTGAGAGAATCAAAGAATATGGCTTTAAAATAAGTGAAGAAAAATGTTATTTATGTCCAGACTCAAATATCTAGAGCAGATTATTGATGAGAACGGTAGACGACTGAATCCTTCAAAGGCAAGCACGATAAAGGATATGCCCACTCCAACTAACATAACAAAATTACAAGCATTCTTAGGGTTTGCAAACTATCATCATACATATATACCTAATATGCATGAACTGAGAGCACCATTGAATAACCTACTGAAGAAGGATTTTTTTTTTTTTTTACTAAATAAAATGATTAGCACCCTTTTTTAGCCGTCATTCATTGCAATGTCATTTTCTTTATTAAAAAATCTTCCAAAAATAAAATATACTTTTCTGAAATTTTATTTGAGGAATATTATCTGATTTAAAGTATAGTTAATCTGATTTGAAACAAATATTATTTACTTTAATTTTAAAATATTGCAGAAATGCAATTTTTAGCCCAACAGTAGCTATTCTGATGTGTTGACAACCTGATGATAGGTTTAATCTTGCTATACAGAGTCTTTATCTGTAAAACATAATTTAAGAAAATGACATGAGTGCCTTTTTAATATAATTTTTGAGTACTCAGTAATCTTAAAAATTTAGGAAAATATTCCCTGTAATCTAATGCTTTATTAAATTTCAGAAATGATTACTTTAAATTTACTATAATCATCGCTCTTATTTTCAGATAATTTTGTGTATGATTACAGTGACTTACAAAAATAGGCACATTTATACACCTAAAAAAAAATTCAAAATTCTTTTGAAAATATTGGTATTTGATGAATTATATTAAGCTTTTCCATTTATGATTAGTAAATATAGTTTTTTGCTTAATGATATCATCTAAAAGGCTGAAATTAATACAGAATTTTAAAGAGATTTAAAACTTGATAAATTTTTCTAATTAAAATTTTTGAAAAATGAAAATGATTCTTGTAAAAATTCATTATTCATTGAAAAAAATTTTCTGAAGACAGTAGTGTCCTTAATATATAAAAGCATTTAAAAGTTTTTCTAATTAAATAATGTCTTAGTTTCATTGGATTTTTTATTTTATGATTCAAAGTATATTTTTGGTAAATGGTGTTTCTGTTTGACAAAAACAAATTGATGATTTAAATTCTCCAAGTCCTGTTTTTAACTAATATAAATATGAAGAGGCTGAAATTTTAATTTCCCAAAAGTTCATCAAATTTAGTATGGTAGGGGTAACAAATGTTTTTTTTACCAAGATTTTCTAAAAATAAAAATTTCATAAATAATTTCATTTATGTGTGAAAATTTAATTAACATCCAACAATTATTCGATTTTGCAAAAATTTCCAAAATAATGTTTTTTACCACAAAAGAAATCTTTGACCCAACAGCAGCTTTGACCTCTAATACAAGTACTTACATTAATGATAACGGGCATTCCTCCATGATATATGGGTTGTGTGCAATATGGCCACATGTAGGGACATTCAGTCAAGTCAATGTAGCTTGGGCTCAAACTGCAAGAGACACACAGCGAAAAGGATTTAGTTTGTTTTGTTTTTTTAAAAAAAGAGACTCTTCAGAAAAAAGACAACTTGCAAAAGAACATTTTATAATTTCTTGACAGGCATTTTGAATTAAAGTTTTCACATTATTTAATCATTTCACCTCAGTTAAGGCAAAAAAGTAAGAAAGATGCAACACCATGCTGCCAATCTAGCTCTGCACTTAAGTTTATAATATCTAGGTACCATAGAGGAAAATTCATCTGAACAATTACAATGAAAGTATTTGCAGGAAAGGTGCAGGGAAGCTACATTATGGCAGTGAGAAAGTGACTGAAGCCAAGATGCCAGGTTAGTACCAATAACATTGCGGATTCAAGAATAAAATGTTATGGTTTTATTAAAATTCTAAACATGATTTGTTATGGGGTCCTCCCCTTTTTCATACAAGTGGACTCGAAATTTGTCGAACCCCTGATTATCAACCATAAGAGACAAAAATACTAACTCGCCCCCCCAAAAGGGATCTAAGGAGGGGGGCGTTATGGGGTCCTCCCCTTTTTCATATAAATGTAACCAGTGTTACTTGGACTGCTGCCGTTAAATACCCAGAGTCAGTCAGAATACAGAGAGAGTGAGAGTGAGCAGAGATTGTGATTGAGTTGGAGGTAGAGTAATAGTGTGAGGTAACCACTTGTAGAAGTCAGTTACAAGCACGTAGACTCTAAGGAAGTCCTACTTCGAGAATGTGTGTGTGTGTGTGTGTATATATATATATATATATATATATATATATATATATATATATATATATATTATTGCAACTAACCGCGTTCCTGGATTTACTAACAGTATTACCCATTGTATTATTGTGTAAATACATTTAATTTCTTATATTTAATTCTTGCGTTTGTCATTCATTGGAGACCGAATTTCATCTCAGAATCCACAACAGATTTTTTTTTAAATGATAAAAAAATTATCAAGAGAGTATACAGTAATCATAAAGAGAAAAACCTTTTGACACACCTTTTTTTTTTTTGCCTGGTCTTATGTTAAACTTTGCCAAGTATTCTGTTAAAAATAATGACAACAATTAAAGAATTTTCCCCCCACCTCAGATTTTAAAATGCAAATTACTTTACTTAACAGAATTTCATTTCAAGGGCAATATTATTAAATGCCTTAATTATATTATTTTTTTAAAACATTTTTTGTGACATATGGTGGCTGTTAATAATTAAGTATAACTCAAGACTTCAATGTTAAGATAAAACAGTATTTAATTACAAACACAAATAAATACTTAAAAAAACAAAAAAGTAAAAATCCACCAAAGATAACCATTTCAGTGAATATCTTGTCAGTAGCGTGACTTAGCTTAATGTCTGGTAAATCCTAAATCAAAACCAAATCATCGACACAGTAATTCACACTAATTCGACTAGATAGTTCCAATCAGTAGTCACTCAATAATAACCCCAGTCAGTAGCCTGACACGACTATTTATACACCTGGCAGAAAACATATTCATAAGTCCAGAGTGTCAGACTCAAACCTCGTTGTCAGTAGTTACTCATTTTCTTTTTATATGACACATTTCAAGGTAATAAAACCACTAAGATGAAAGAGATTACTGAGAGTGGAAGAAACTAAGAAAAAAAATGCAGCAAAGATATTAAAGACCAAATTACAAGTTGAATTTGTCTATTTGTCAAGTTTGCAGAAAATTTCAAAGTTCATCAATCACAGCTATTTATTTCTGCTTACCTTGCTTGAGGCTTATAGGTCTGCAATGTCTGGTAGGTGCGAATGAGGTCAAGTTTGCCATGTCCCTGTTCAAACATATTTACATCTGGCAAGCGCCGAGCAGATGCCATCAGCGCTTGTTTCATACTGGCTGGATTGATTACATTGGCACGCTCCTTAACAGCACTAAAAGCCAAAAAATAAATAAATAAATAAATAATAATCACAAAAACAACAATTTCATACTGTAAGAAACACAATACCATGAAGTATAAACATTTTGTTTATAGTACTTTTTGATAATGGGGATATTTTGTGCAAAATCAACATTAAATTGGATTGTTATATAATAATAATAATAATAAAAAATAAAAAAAACACAGGACTGGTGCTATAAAAACAAAACCACAATAAATATCAATTCGGCATTTAATCCCCTTCAGATTTTACACTCTTCACCCAATATCATTTCCATTGATGGAAGCATTCCTAGCAAGCGGCTGCCTCATCACATTCGCTTGAATTTCCTCTAAGTCTTGAAATCTTGTTCCTTTCAAGTGGCATTTGATTTTTGAAGTCAAGAGGGACAAGATCTGCAAGAATGTTGTGCTTAGCCAAAAATTGCTGCACAAGTTATGGTCATTGATTTAATTCCTGTGGTGTGGTGAAATGACCACACTCTACACACTTCCTTCCAAACACAGCTATAAACAACAGAAGTGAGCAAAAAACATTAGTGTGCATGAGTTAGGATTAGTAATTTTTTTATATAAAGGAGACCTGCATTTCATATGAATGATTATATTTCAATTTCCCAACATTTAAAGGAACATTCCTGTCCATAGTCAAGATTTAGTGAAATATTAATCGACAATACAACTATACTCCACCACAAAAATAACAAACAAAAACTTCAAATTCTGGAAAACCTTTAGATAAAAAAATTATGAGTATAGCAACAAAATTCTAAAATGTTTGTAACAGAAAGGTTTTAAAATATCTAAACTGTAATTGTTAAAGCTACAATTAAAACAATATTTTAAAACACGTAATTACAATTTTTAATAAGAATTTAAATAAATTAAGTTACCTCCCTTACATAACATAAAAGTTTTCTAATTTTACAGTGATCATGCTTACACATATTCATAACTTACATTAAGTTTTTGTCATAGCAATTCACCCCGGAAGATAATCTTGGATGACATTGAAAGTACTTGGGGAAAATAAAAACTATAAGAATAATTACATCATTTTTTTTTTTTTTTTAAATCAGTTTTGTACTGACACTAAGAAATTTATCTCGGAACTTGAGAGGATTAAAATATATATGGAAAATTAAAAAATCAGCCAATTCTGCTATCTTGGTTTCAGCTTTTTGCTATCTTCAGGCAATTTTGGTCAATTGATTTCCTAACATTTTGGGGTTCATTTGAAGTGGGATAAAAAGGATGTATGTATATTTCATTTAGTACCCCCACCAACACATTTCCAATACACTGGATTTTCCTCTCCTCCTCACTTTCTACCACACTTCACATTGGGCACTTATTCATTTTTTTTTTTTTCTTTCTTTTCTTTAAATATAACATTCATAAATTTTGATTTTTTTAAAAAATAAAGCATTTGGAAATCAATTGACTGAAATCACCTGAAGATGCCAAAAGGTTGAAACCAAGGTAGTGGAATCGTCCGATTTCCTAATTTTCTATACTCATAAGCTTTACATGTTAAATTTTCATCTTTTTACATGTGTATTGAGCACTTTTTAATACTACTGGTTCTTGGTCTAATTCAATTCTTACCATTATTATATATATATATATATATATATACACACACACACACACATACATACATACATACATACTAGTGTACATGTGCCATCAAAAATGATGGCAAGAAGGAATGTATTATAAGTAATATGTATTATATTGTAAGTAATTTTCGTTTAATCAATGTACAATCTTGTAATTTAAAATAGATTGTTGTTAACGTTAATAAACAAACAGCATAAATTTTATAAACACCTCCGGAAAAATTATACTCATAAATGTTACATATTTACAATCAAATTCAATACAACTTAGTTCTTACTGCAAACTGTGTCACCCTAGTGAGCGGTTCTTTTTGTAGTTTACCACACCTTCCATTGCCAACTCATGCGAAAAGGGAGGGAAAGAAGGGGATGGCTTTGTAGTTAGCTTTATGTATGTGGACATGAATGGGGTCTTTTGTACACTGCACCTCAATTGTTACACAAAAAAAAAACACACACACACACATATATACATATGTGTATATGTGTGTGTGTGTGTGTGTGTGTATTATATTTAAGAATAATCATACTTATTATAAAACCCAGGTTGTGTGTGTGTGTCTGTATGTTTATATATTGGATCAGATTTCCTACATTTTTCAACCGATTTCAACAAAACTTCACAGAACTACGTAAAATTACCTTGTGGTGGTTCTGACAGCACCAAAAATTGTAAAAACACAATTGTTTTTGCACAAAATCAATTTGAAAACACGATTAAGAGGCATCGCGAAAATGAAAGGGGGGACAACTCATATCGAATTATACTTATTATAAAACCCAGGTTGTGTGTGTGTGTGTGTGTGTGTGTGTGTTCATTTATATATGGGATTGGATTTCCTACATTTTTCAACCGATTTCAACAAAACTTCACTTTTTGGGGCAGGTAGTGTTTCTTATTGTCTTGCACACTTTTTTTCTTTATTTTTACATTCAGAATGCTTAAAAATTCCATTTACAAGACAATTGTTTATAATAAAATTCTATTCAATCAAGTAGGAATGGTCACTGACCCATCCCCCCCCCCCAGCACTGCGTTATTTGTAACTTGACGCTTGGGTCTGAGACATGGCTAGCCGTACAATCACTGTTCCCACCAAATTGACTTTCGAAGAATAACTTTCCGCCATGTGTGAGTATAAATTCATTCTACCAAAGACGCATCCGATAGCATATCTCTCTCTCTCTATATATATATATATATATATATATATATATATATATATATATATATTATATGTTTTTACGTATTTATTCTTTTCAGCTATTGTTGCTTGATCACTCCGACTAATTTAACATTAATACTTGTTCTAATCTAACTGATAACTTGTTTGTGTAGTTGGAAATCGTCCCCCCCCTACCTCTGGAAAAAAAAAAAGGAAAAAATGTCCCTTCACATGTCTTCAGTATTCTTTGGCCCTGTGGCTTTGTCTTTTGCTCGATAAAAAAAAAAAATTTGACCTCTGGCGGAATCGTTTTGCCATTCGTTTTCCTCGTGGTTTAAATATTTTATTAATGCAAATTCTCCCAAGCCCACTGTTGGGGAAGGGTAGGAATGGTCACTGACCGCCCCCCCCTCAGCACTCGTTATTTGTAACTTGACGCTTGGGTCTGAGACATGGCTAGCCGCATAAATCACTGGTCCCACCAATTGACTTCGAAGAATAACTTTCCGCCATGTGTGAGTATAAATTCATTCTACCAAAGACGCATCCGATAGCATATCTCTCCCACTCTCTATATATATATATATATTCATGTTTTACGTATTTATTCTATTCAGCTATTGTTGCTTGATCACTCCGACTAATTTAACATTAATACTTGTTCTAATCTAACTGATAACTTGTTTGTGTAGTTGGAAATCGCCCCCCCACTACCTCTGGCAAAAGAGAAATGAGAAAAAAAAAAATGTCCCTTTCCTTAGAATAGAACATTGGGACTTATACTAAGTTAAAACTTAGTGTTGTATAAATATAAAATACTAAAAATATTCCATCCTATCCCCCTTAATGCGCGTATAGTGCCAGAATGGGCACTGCCAACTACTTCCCGGCCTTTATCTGTTTGTCTATTGTCACTGTTATGTGTTATATGTAATAGGAGCCTCCTACCGCCCGGTCAACACTCCTCCCCCTTCCCCTGGACAAGCGCAGAGGCTCACACCTTGTTTCCTGTCTAAGAAGGGGTTCCCGCACTTTTCTCTCTCTGGCCTCTGTACGAGTACTGATGTGTTTCTCCCGTGACGTGCGCAGTCTGTGGCATTGCCTCTTCATTTTGAGGGTACACGGTTGACAGTTTACTGGTTGCTGTTTCCGACTGGTGGTTAGGAGCCCTAACTCTTGCGTAGCGTCTTGAGCGGCCGCTCTGATCAACAGTTGTATAATACCGGGGTGTTTGTAGTGCCATGACGCGCATGGATCGGTGTCCCTGCAGTCACCTCCGGTGGGCAACCCTGAGGCCACACTATGATGCAGGCTGTGCCAACTCCTCGCTGCTCACGTTGCGGTCGATAACCATCTGCTTCTCTATACTTCAGGCCTTCTCATCTTCCAACAATCACTAAACATGAAGACTCAATTGAATCAAAAACGTAAAAACTAAACCAGCCCCCGCAAAATCACCTAAACCCCTTAACATTTAGATTTAAGCCAACATCCATGGCATTAGAACAAACTTCTGCAGTTTGGAATCTTTCCTCACTGCAAACTGCCCGGATATACTGGCTCTGTGTGAGACAAACCTTGTCTCGCCTATTCCTCCTCTGATCTCTCGATCCCTGGCTACCTTCCTCTCCTCAGGAAAGACTCTCTAACCCACATGCACGGCCTTGGTGTCTCACGCCAAGGACCATCTCCCCTGGCCAGAGAGCTGTCTCTCCGATCGCCAGACCTGTCGTACATGTGTCTCCGACTATCTCTCCTCAATGCCGTAAGCTATCTCTTCTTCCTCTATCTCTCCATCCTCTCAAGACTGTCGGATACTTGATAGCATATCTGACAGCATAGACAAGGCCCTCTCTCTCCACCCGCTTGCTCATATATTCGTGTTTGGTGACTTTAATGCCCATCACACCAAGTGGCTCGAGAATGCTACTACTGACCGGGCTGGCATTCAAACATTTAACTTCTCAATTTCTCAGATAGTCGACTTCCCCACGCGTTTTGCCCTCGACCTGGCAGGCAAGGCCTCTCTTCTTGACCTGTGTTTTACCTCCATCCCCGAATCTTGTAGCGCCACACAGCTCTGCCCGCTTGGCAACTCTGATCCTGCTGTGGTATCTGTCAACGTTTCCTTCAACTCCACGCCCTGCAAAGAACCTCCCATCACAAGAACCTCGTTCTACTACCAACGAGCGGATTGGGACTCGTTCCGTGACTTCCTCCGCGATGTCCCCTGGGATGTTGTCTTTACACTCCCTGTCCAAGAATGTGCTTCTGAGGTCTCATCCTGGGTTAAAGCTGGAATCAACGCTTTCATCCCCTCAAGGAAATTTAAGGTCAAGTCGCACTCCTCCCTTGGTTCTCCGCTGCTTGCTCATCTGCCATCGCCCACAGGAATCACTTCTTTCACCGATTCCGTGGCGACATGTCTGACTGCAATAGACGTCTCTTTGCCTCTGCCCGTAACGAATGTAAGCGTGTCCTCAACGGCTAAGTCAATATTTGCTGCTCGAATGAAGGGCGATTGCATCTCACAAGTTTGGCTCCAAAGATTACTGGCGAGTCTGCAAGAGTGTCCTGAATAATCGAAAACCCTCCATACCTCCTTTATTCAACCAGTTCGAGGTCTTGGCCTCCCCTACCGACAAGGCTTGACCTCCCCTACCGACAAGGCTGAATGCTTTGCTCATTTAATTCAACGCTCGATTCCACCGGTGTTCCCATACCAGACTTCCCTCTTAGAACTGAGGCCTTACTGAGCGGCTTACACATAACCCCGTCATTGGTACTGGGCATTATCTCCACTTTAGACCCCCACAAGGCTAGTGGTGGAGACGGCATACCAGCCATTGTCCTGAAGAAATGCGCGCCTGAGCTAGCACCCACCCTCTCTAAACTGTATAATTACTGCCTCAAGGAATCATGTTTTCCTGACTGCTGGAAGTCCTCATCCATTGTTCCTGTGTTTAAGAACTCTGGAGACCCCTCTGACCCCACTAATTACCGTCCTATTAGTCTCCTACCCCTGTTCGGCAAAGTCTTGAAGCCCTAATCAATGCCAAGTGGTTAATCACCTCACATCCCATAATCTGCTCTCAGACAAGCAATATGGTTTCCGCTTCGCCAGATCTACAGCCCGATGTGCTTACGGCCATCAGTGAAACCGTCTACCAAGCCCTTCAAAATAACGGTGAGGCTCGTGCTGTGGCCCCTCAACATCTCCAAAGCATTCGATAGGGTTTGGCACGCCCGCCTTCTTCGTAAGCTCCAGGGTATGGTGTTACTGGTCAACTGTTTGATCTAATACAATCATTCCTGTCTAACCGAGAATTGAAGGTCGTTCTCAACGGATTCTCCTCCAGTTCCTACCCCATTAACGCAGGTGTGCCCCAAGGCTCCATCCTTGGCCCCACTCTTTTCCTCATTTTCATCAACGACCTTCCTGAAGCTATAAATTCCCAGGTCGGCATCTATGCAGACGACACTACAATTTACTCCTGCCTCAAAAAAACAAGTCTAGTGTCGGCATACAAAAACTAACCTGGCCGTGCGTCTTGAAATGGACCTCCAATTGGTTGTTAACTGGGGCAAGAATTGGCTGGTCAACTTTAACGCCACTAAAACTAAATTACTCTCCATTAACCACCATAGAGATCCTTCCCTGCCCCCCCCATTAAAATGTCTGATAGTCAACTTCCTGAGAGCAACTCCCTCGCGCCTGCTCGGTCTCACGCTGACTGCTGACCTGAGATGGAACAAATACATTGAGTCAATTGCTTCTTCCACCACGAGGAAAGTTGGCTCTCTGTGCCGAGCCAGGAAATTTTTCTCCCCTGACTCGATACTTCAAATATATAAAACAACCATTAAGCCCTTGCATGGAGTATTGCTGCCATATATGGGCTGGAGCACCTTCTGCTTACCTCGGAGTTCTTGACAAGATCCAGAGAAGGATATGTAATCTAATTGGCCCTGATCTAGCGTCTTGCTTGCAGTCACTCTCTCACAGACGCTCCGTCGCCTCTCTCTGTCTTTTCTACAAATACTTCCATGGTAACTGCTCTGATGAGCTGCTCTCTCTGGTTCCCATACTCCATGAATTCAAGCGCCCTACGAGGCTGGCATCCCGCTCTCACCCTTACACCGAGAAACCTTCAAATGTAGCCGTCTCTTCTACTCCAATAGCTTCATACCTCGCACCTCTCGCCAGTGGAACACCCTCCCCAATTACTGTTTCCTGAAAGCTATAATCTCCAACTATTCAAATGTAATGTCAATCGACATCTCCAGCTACCTTGATCTACCCACTATCCTTCTCCTCTTCCTTTCTCCTATCACTCTTATCTGCTCTCGCTCCAAACCCCCAGCATCCTAGTGGCTTCACGCCTTGCTTGGGGCACAATGCTTAAAAAAAAAAAAAAAAAAATCTCATAATGATTGAAAACAATGTTTTTGTTTGAGTTTGACCAATTCGTAAAAAAACAAAAAAAACAAAAAAAAAAACTAATTAAGACATGCGTGTCCGTCAACCTTAAACAATAATCTTTGTCAATTTTATTTTTCAGTCTTTATGATGGTCAATACTTGATCTATCTCTTACTGTTACATCCTCGGGCAACGCTGGGCTCTACTGCTAATCATAAAAATATCATAAAGTTTGCTAACTGTGCGAAAAAATAAAAGGGAAATATGGGTGGTTTGCTACAATGTGATTGGCATGACAGGTCCTAGCAGTGAAGGTTAAAACTAACAGAACCAAGGAATGTAGTTTGTCCAAGCACTTTCCAAAGTCGTAGCAATAGAGCAGTGAGATAGTTGCCACATCCTGCCTGTAAGAGAGAGGTTGGAAAATAATAATTCTCCAACAAGGATTCAGAGACACTTTTGAACTCTATCAAGACTGGAAAGTGAGGGTTGGGTAGCTCCTGCCTAAATATGACAACATTACTCCATTTTCGGCCTGATCTGGCTCTTATAAAGGTAGAGGATAGCATGAAGAGTCAGGTACTTACTGAAGCGGTACAGGGAGCCGATCATTTTACCTGCATCTTCAGCAATGGATCATATATAAGAGTTTCACTTGAGGTCAGGTGTGAGTGTGAGGCCCAATATTCTTTCAAGACATGGGGGGCATCCTCATGTGGGGATTCATTCATCATGACTGGCAGTAGTTCGGAGCCTGATTGGCGGTGATGGGACATAGTTTGGTTTTCAATGCATTGAATGTAACCAGCCTGTTTTTTTCCCCATTGGGAAGTTTGTGCTAGATCAAGAGAGAGGTCAACTACCAATCTCTGATCATCAAAAGTTTTAGAAGTTCACCCATATATCATTGTATCATCAGCATAGATGTCTACAAATGATCGGAGTATATGCTTAGGTAGATCATTTATGTAAATCAGAAAATTGAATAGAAAATAAAGTGAAAGATCTTAAATTAATATATAACATGCTAAGAATTCTAATTTTGAATTAAATCTAAAAAGAACCTGATTTTTGGAACATACTGTTTAATTAATTTACCTTGCTAATAATGTAACGGCTCCTGCCACGACAGGAGAAGCAACACTGGTGCCAGAGAGAGATCGACAACCATTTCTGAAATGAAAAAGAAACAATATACATCTTTGACTTTAAGAAATAAATATAAAACTGAAAAATAACGTTTGGAAATATAACTTTTGTTGTTAAATGGGGCAAAGAATGGCTTGTTAATTTTAATGATTCCAAAATGATACTTCTCTTTTTATTCATCTGAGAAATCTTTTTGCCTGCTGTCAGCATGGATGATACTAACCTCAAGGAGAGAGACTCACTGCACCTTCTCAGATTAATGTTTTCCTTTGCTTAGACTGGTTGACACTCAAAGTTATAAAACCTAGTCTACCTTGCTATTTAGCTCATAGCCTGGGGGCAGAGAAATGAAGGATTCATATTTTTCATAAAGGCTTGAGTTGTGAAATCTTGCATGCATTCAGTTCAACTCTTATTAATAAATGCATTGTTTCTTTCCAGGTACAAGGATGGGCTGAAATCTTCTCAGGCTGACTATGAAGGAGTGATGCTAGAGCTGTGAAATCTTACATGCATTCATTTCAATTCTTATTAATAATGGCATTGTTGTTTTTTTCAGGTAAACTGATGTTTATCTGTTCAAAGAAGATTTCAAAAGTAACTAGCAGTAACTTCCCTTAAAATGAACAAAATTTGGCAACGTGGTACTATGAAATACTTACAAAAAAAGGATTTAGTCACCAAGGACATTCACACTGACATGTTTGCTATATTAGGAATGACACTCCAGCTTTACCAACAGTGCAAATGTGGGCAGGTAATTTAGGAAAGGATGAGAGAGTCTTGAAGATGACGCAACATCTGCACATACTGCAACTGCTATCCAAGTTAAGGGTTAATTAGTAGGACTTGTATTACTAAACAATTATTATCTCAAAATAAATAAATAAAAAAATAAAATATGTAAAAATATTTTCTGGCTTTAAATAACTTGCAAAACAATGTCCAGCTATTGAAAATGAACCAATTGATTTATAAGCACTAAGTATGACACACCGCTATATCTGAGGGGGCACTCAAAGTGTACTGAATTCATTATTGATAACATGTAAAACTAGCAGACCTTCTAAATGCTTGAGATTAATTATGGTACAAGGTAGTATTTATTGAGCATTTAATGAAGATTTTAACTTACTATAACAAACCAACACATTTTCATTAAATTGTTGCAACAATTGACTTAAACGAAACCAAATGTAACACAAGGTTGTGTACCTGGAGCAGTCAGTTATAGGTGAATTATCCTCTGTGACCAGATTACTTCCTCACAAACCAAAACTTAAGAAACAAAATAAGACATTTCTTACTTCAAAGCAGATCCTCTGACTGCAGATCCATAGGTGACAATATCAGGCTTTAATCTGCCATACCCAGCAGGCAATTCCTACAAAGAAAGAAACACTTCTCAATGGATTTTCAAATGAAGAAATTCTTTAAATAATTTTTAAAATGATGATGTAAATATGTTCAAATACTTTGATATTGAATGTTATTCTTTTATTGCAATATTTCTTTTAACGCATGAAAAGAAGAACTACTGAGTAATCTCCCTTCGATTTGGGATGACATGAACAAAACGAGATGGCATTTCAATGATTTACATTACTAGAACTAAATCATGAAACTAATAAATAGGCTAGTAGAGGCTGCAGCATAGGGCCCAGGGCCGGATTATTCTTTAAGTTGGTATGCATGCCTCTCACACACACATTATATATATATATATATATATATATATATATATATATAGATTATATTATATAATAATTATGTATACAGTAGAATATACAATAGTGGCATAATAAGAGAATTAGAGAATGATTTATAACCAATGATTTATGTATTCCCTAATGCATTAATGAGTTTAGGATTAGGCATGAATCAACTTTTCCCTGTTCTGTCCTCTTCACCTGCTGACACATATGACAATGATTGACAAAGAAAAGTCAGATCAAGCACCAGATTTGTTACTGGAACCATTCATCTGAGTACTATGTGCCTTTTTTAGAGGAAATGACTTCTAACAAGTGACTCACCAACATATACGTTTGAAATGATAGACAAGTAGATGAAAAATGACAAGAGAATTGAAACAGGAATCGGCAAATTAAATTGTTTTTTTTTGTTTCTGGCCAGACTTACCCATGTTGTCATCCCACGAGAGGAGAATCGAGCGATTTGGTTTTCAAAATTGATTCCTCCAACACCAATCACATCCATTTGATCTGCGGGATTGTTCAATGTCCTGTGCAAAGAATATGAAGAAAAAAAAAAAGGTAAGTATCAGAGAAGAAATAAGAAACTTAACAACTGATGGCTGACCCAATCTGATAAAAAATGTCTACCAAAGTAGAAACCATTTTGAAAAGAGAAATATTATCAGCTTTGCACTTTGCCTGCATTACATGTCTGTATTAAGAACAAATGCACAGTATTGTGCAATAAAAAGATTTAATAAAGTTTGTCAGTCTTTCTAGTTTGATGCGCACAATGATGAAAGGTCTGTCTATATTTCTGAAATGACATATTGTAACTATTTACATGTTCAGACTGTTGTCCTCATCTTTATTGTCATATTCCCAACATTTCAGCCATTGTACATCTTTCAAGGAAACATGGCCCAGTGGATAAAAGCATTGGTTTAAGTAATCCAGTGACTTGACCCAAAGAGTTTTGAATTGAAACCTGGCCACAGCAGAGGTGAACATAAACGTGGAGAGTTGAGTTAGTAAAGGGAACTAACTGAAACCAAGATAGTTAGAAAAGGTATGGCACATGGAACTAGAAAAATCTACCCCCATGGACTGAATAAAGGGTTCAGTTCAAAATTCCAACAAATATCACCTGAAGAAGGCAGGAGCATACACTGGCCAAAACATTGTGGATATGACAATAAAGATGAAGACAATAGTCCAAACAATGTAAATAGTGTAAAAAATGATGAAAGTAAAAAAAAAAAAAAAAGTTCTGTCTTTTCTGGCAAATTGTTTCTGCCTGTTGTGGCTGGAGCTTTTGATTTGATGAAGAAAAGTTTGGTTTGGTTTACGGCATATCAACTTATTGGGTCATTTAATGCAGAAATTTAGTCTTTTTTAAATAAAGTCTTGTATGATTCTGTCTACAAGAAAAATCAGGACTTAGATTGGTTGATTGATTTTGTTTAGCGGCATACCAACCTTTATGGGTTATTTAATGCTGAAATCTAAATATTTGGAACACCATTTTATGACTTCAACAAAATACATTTCGAATGCAATTGTGTGCCTTCAACAACAGATGAAATGTATTGTTGGTAATTTTACTATAAAATGTATTGTGGCTCACTGATTTAATTAGGTATTGTTGGTAATTTTATTATAAAAATGTATTTTTATACTTTCATACTATTTTTCTTTTGTTTGACGGTTCATTATTTGCCCATAGCTGGGACCCTAACATATGCTACCACCTCAGGTCAGTGTGGACATGGGAATAAAAGCAATTAAGAAGTGGTTCCACACTCCTCAAAACCTACAATCTTCCCATCAGAGGACTTTCTACCAAATGTAGTTTATCATCATACCCAGGACTGATGAAGAAAGGAACTCAAGGAAAAAAAAAAAAAAAGAAAAAATAGTTCTAACAAACACAGAATATATCCTGCAATAACATTAATAGGAGTAGATAGGTTTGCCTATCATTTGGTTCATACTCTTCTTCAGTCTTTTGAACAGCAGTAGAGGTTTATCCCTTGTTTAGGATTGGATTTCCAGTTCCTTATAAAGTCTAAATTTCTTGGGCACATAATGAGGAAAGTGGGCTTGGAAGATTTGACACTCACAGGACATATTGAAGGCCAGAGGGGTAGTGAGTAAGCTATCTAATGAGCTTGTGTAAAGGGATAGCAGAACAAAGACAGGAACACATAGTAAAGAGACAAATATTTTGCTTAGAGAATAGAAGTTGTGGCTCAACTGTGAACAATGACATCTCAAGTAGTAAAACAGAAGACAGCAAGATTAAAGGAATGTATAAGATGAGAGTGAAGAATGAAAGAAAGTCTGTGATGTTAAAGTGAATATAATATATAATTTTGGAAAGAAGTAAACATTGAAAATCAGTTTGAAAAATAAAGTCATTTCTGGATAAGATATCAGATCAAAAAAGACATTTTTGGATAAGATCAGAAAAGTCAATCAAAAAATGAATTTGTCAGGAGAATCCAAAACAAACAAAATCAAGTATCGCCTACCAACAAATGGTGTTTGGTGGGATACAAAGAGAATTAGCTTACAGTCGCATCATGTCAAAACACTGATTCCCGTATGACCACCAAAGTTAAGCAACATCATGTCTGGTCAGTAACTAGATGGGTTAATATATAATAAGCTTGGATGTGCAGGTGTTGTAATGGTCAGAATTGTTAATCAGAGAGCATAGTTCCAATTCCTCAAACCTGGATTTGAACTTCTCGGTCAACCCTACACTGTGCAGTCAATGTTGTGGTTCAACTGGTGTTGGTTGCTGTACCCTCAGGTCCACACACCCTGCCCACATTGTATTCTTGATCACAAGGTTGGCAGAATTGATTATGGCAGTGATTGATGCATTAAATGAAATCCTGGCAAACTGCCTATCTTGTAAAATAAATAAAGGAATGCCTTTTTGCAAAAATCATGCAAACGAAAACAGAGACTTGGGTTAACTTTCTATTTGGTTTTATGTAGTTTTCCAGTGTACAAAATTAACCCTTACCACTGCAATTCTCTGTAGTGACACTTTGTCTATAGGTGTTAATTCTGGAATAAGACTCAAGTCGGGAAATCTCTTGGCAGCAGGTAACGTGGGGTTCAACAGTTCCTTCTGCTATTGTCTCATCTCTTTGACCACTGCTCCAACTAACTGCTAATTCACCCAAAGTGCTCTGCTTATATTGACTTCAACTTAAGACTGGCATGTGGTTGACAGTGTCGGGGGATTCAGGGTTTCCCCACTGTCTTTCAACAAGAGTTCTTTGCTGCCTGGTTTGTAAAATTATCTCTCCAAATCTTAAGAGATCACTTCTCACTAGAAGTGGTAGTAGGTATTGACCCACTTATATAACTCGTACCATCTCTTATTTATGCATCGCACCATTACTTCCCAACATGCAAAGGTAAATTTTTTAGCTGTCTTCTTGATAATTCTACTTTTTAACTGAGTGGGCAAAGGAGCTGTCTTATTTTAATCATTGATTTTCCATAACAAATATCATTTTCCCAGTTGGTATGGTCTAGCACATCTGCATCCAGTCATACCACCTACAACCCTCGGGTTACCAGGCAGACAATCTTACAGCTGTGATTCTTGTCCTGATTCTTTCAATGCAATATAAATTCCTATCTCTTGGCCTGTCCACACCTTCAAAATTATCATATATTATGCTCAATGACCTCTTTTTCCACCTGGGAATCATGAGACATATTTTCATAAGCAGACAATCTATATGTCATCTTGTCCTTTTAACTCTCTCTGCTCCATTTCATATTCCAAATTAACCCTTTTATCAGTGTCATATAGTGTCACAATTCACATACACACAAAGAGGCTGGAGAAAGGTATGAATCCACCTCTTCTCCTCCCAGCTATGGGTGAATTAGTAAGACTTGTATCACTAAATCATTATCTCAAAAATAAATAAATATTCCTATAATCTAAAGATATTTTCTGGCTTTAAATAGCCCTCAAAGGGTTGATAAGCCATAAAAATGAATCAATCAATGAAAGAGAATTATTTTTTATGAATTGCCAAAGCTTGGATAAACTGTTACCTCTTCTTGCCATCCACCAGCATGGCTGATGCTAACCTCCACAAGAGTGACTTCATGCACCTGCATGCTCCGCTGACATGAAGTGAAAGATTATATTGAACACATTGCTAGGTCTGCTGCTAAGAAAGTTGGTTCACTGTGTTGTGCTAGACATTTTTCTCTCCTGAATCTATCTTACATATTTATAAATCTACCATTTGTCCATGCTTTGAATATTGCTGCCACACATAGTCTAGTACTCCTGCTGTATGTTTAGAGATACAAATAAGTATTAACAATATTATTGGTCCTGACCTCATGTCTTGGTTTCAGTCACTTTCCCACTACCATTATGTAGCTTCCAGGCCTTTTCTATAAATACTTTCATGGTAACTGTTCGAATGCTATAACACCTAGACTATAAATTTAAGTACAACACAAGACTGTCAGCAAAGTGTCATCAATTTACAGTTGGAATGGCTAGTGTAACTAAGTTTTCTGCTAAAAGATTATTTTCTTGCACTTCTCATTTGTGGAATTCTCTTCCAGTTCCATGCTTTCAAGCCAACTTTGATCTTCAAAATTGTAAATGCAATGTCAATTGTTATCTACTGTCTTCTTGGATACTCTTCTATTGTTCTTGCTCGTTCATAATATTTCTATTTTTCTAATTATTTCACAGTAACTCCTTGTGTCTTTATTGCCTTGCATTAGGTGATATTATTTATAAAAAAAAAAAAAAACTATAATGAGAAACTAGCTTCTTTGAAAGATGCATGAGAACTGAAAAAAATTTTTCTGAGTAACAAATTTTACTGATGGTTTTGTTACAGAAACAAACACCTCTGCTCTACATGATGGTAATAGTCAGTTTTATGCCTCTATTCATTTCAGCCTTGTGCCATGCTTACTGAATGACGATATTCAGATTGCAATTTATAAATCTATGAATTTATATAAATACAAAATTTTGTCAAAAGTAAATGCTGGTAACTTTTTAAATCAACCAACTAAAAGAGCAAAGTCATAGCATTATTGGGACAACAGGCTAGTAGATTTAAGTGTTGCTTCATGAATATGGTGAAATAGTAACTGTGAGTTCAAATCTTGGACCAAGTAGTGTGTACTCGGGCTCAATGAAAATGAGTGAGCAATAACTGAACAGTACTAAAAGTAAGAATTCTACAAGATATCTCAAAACAGTCTACAACCATCCACCCTACCCTATACAGAATTCCCTTAAGTTACCCAGACTGATACACACCTGGTGTAAGGATGTGGGGAACAACAGCCAAAACATGGTGAAAACAACAACAACAAAGATGAAGACAATAGTCCAAATATAAATAGTGATTGTGAATAAGAACTAGACAAGATGACCGTATACATGAGTAGTGGAACAAGAACAGTCTGCCCAAGTAGATTAAATAAAGGGTTCAATTCAGAATTCCCTGAAGATTACCAGACCAATATACTCCTGACGAAAGCTGGAAGGCACAACAGCCGAAACATTGTGATAACAACAATGAAGATGAGGACATTAGTCCAAATGTAAAAAGTGTAAATGAAGTTATAGCATTTTTACAAAGAAAAAAAATCCTGATTATTTTCTAGATTTTTAAATACAAAATGTTTCTGACATCCATTTAGTACCACTCTTACATTCATATCACACACCTCATTCAATAACCTTCTACTATGAATGCGCGTGACCAAATGGTTAGAGTGTTCGTGCTCCAACCATGAGACCTGGGTTCGAATCTCATCATGGTCGATTTATCAGGAAGGTGACTACTTGATGTTATTGGCCTGAGGAGGTGATTCCCTTAAGGCGGGACCTTTGGAAAGTGCCTGAAAACCATATCACAGGTTGACCCAAGTCTTGTGAGTGAAGTTTGGGAGTTGTCAATGGTTGCAAAGTCATCATGACCGAAGGTTTGAATGTACTGGCCTTCCTCAGGCTGCTGATCATGCCAAATAATGTGTGCTTTCCCAAAAACTGTAACTAAGGTCCTTTCAGCATGGTTGCAGTGAGTGTTGAACGAGTGCAGATGTGCCTGAACAGGCATCTGCAACAGGGATCAGCTAGCCACCCTAGTAGACAGGTATACTCAGATACGAGCAGCCAGCCACCACCACTGCCACAATTAAATGAGTACGCATGTAGTGTAATGGTTATCAATGCAGAAATTTGAATCAGCAGAGTTCAAATTCCAGCCAAGTTTGTTGCATTCACAAATGCCATTGAGAAAGACATGAATCCAACTCTTCCCTGCTTCCGCTATGGGTTAAACTGTATGGTAGCTCAGGCTCTCAAGCCCTGGGTGGAAAACTGAATACAAAACCATGTAGGCAGCAACAGGAAATTATTTTTTTTTCAAGAATCATGGCAACTCATTGATAATAAAGAAGAGGAATCTGTGGAGAGCCATGATCACCTACATCCGGAAGGGACATAAAATTAAAAAAATAAAAATAAATAAATAAATAAAAAAAAAGATTATTAAATACTTGATACAGCAAGATATTAGAAACTGAATTTTTTTTTCTAAACATTCATCAAGTGTAAAACAAGTTTTGTGAAATTCAGTTCTTAGTTTTCTCTAGACAAATCTCATCCATTAATGCCAATGTCTTACCCATAAAGAGGTCCGTCATTTCCAATGGCAGATACCATAATCACTTTGTTGGCAGTTAGCTCCCACACCTGCAAAGAAAAAAAAAATAATTCAAATATCTATCAATACATTCATTAATTTTAAACACCATGAATACGCTCCATTCTAGAGTTGTTAATAAGTTTCTTTAAGATTCAATCAATTTGGCATCAAATTGGGACACAACACAAAATTCTTAGTTTTACACTATAACAGATTTCACTAAATAAAAGATGATGAAAATATGTAAGATTCTAATTAGAGTTAAACTTGACTTTTTTCAATAAGGAAAATTTAAAATCAAAGACACATGGACAATATGACCAATAGTACTGGACAATTTTTCTTGCAGGAATCTCTCTTACATTTTTATAAGTCTACCATTCATCTATGCTTTGGATATTGTGACATGTGGCCTGATTGGTTGATTTTCTTTATAATCAATCTCTACGGGTTATTTAAAACCAAAATCTACATATTTTGTATGTAATTTTATGCTATCAGGGTAAAGTTATGTTTTTTTTTCTTTTAGATATATAGTTTGTAGATCATAAAATGTATTGTTGGTAATTTTACCATGAAAATGTATTTTTATATTTTTTATGTTGCATTGATTGTCATTTTGCTATAAAAATGTATTGTTGGTCATTTTATTATAAAAATGTATTGTTGATTTTTGTTGGTAGAGGGGAGGGTCGCTATTTGCCCATAGCTAGGACCATAACAGGTGCTACCACCCCCAGCTTAAGGTTGACCTGGGAACCACAGCAATTAAGAGGGGGTTCCACGCACATTACAACCTCCAATCTCTCAATCAGTGGCATTGCTGACGGATGTAGTTTATTGTCATACCCAGGATGGCATGTGGTCTGATGTTCCTGCTACATATTTAGAAATTCTTGATAAAATACAAAGAAGAATCTGCAAAGTTATTGGAAGCAAACACAAGCATTATATTTGCCATGAGGATGATAATGTTGATTTTCTGCAATCTTATTGGTTCTGACCTGGCATCTCGGCTTTAGTCACTTTCCAACTAACTTCCCTGTGCCCTTTTTATAAATAGGCTTATAGTAATTATTCTGATGAACTTTCCTTTATGGCACCTAGATTTTATGAATTTAAGAACAGTATGAGACTGGCAGCAATGTCTCATCATTTTACAGATTAGAGTTAACTGTAAGTTCTACGCTAAAAGTTTCTTCTCTCACATTTCTCACTTATGCCACTCTTTCTTGGTTTCTTGTTTTCCAGTCAAGTTTAATCTTCAAAAATATAAATGCAATCTCAATCATTATCTTATGTCTTCTTAATTCCTGTTCTTTTATTGTTTTTGCTCATTAATAATATTTTCTTTTTCTTATTTCACACTCAGTAACACCTTGTGTCTTAGTGGCTTTACTGCCTTGCTTGGGATGTGATGATTTTAAAAAATCTGGATATTTCATCATAGAATATTTGGAGTTGAAAGGACAAATACAAGTAAACAGGTTTTATAACAAACAAAAAAAATATCTGTCTATATTTCTGAGATAAGATATTGTAATTATACACTATTTACATTGTTCAAACTGTTGTCCTCATGTTCGTTGTCATTTTCATGACATTTCAGCCATTGTACACTCTGGCTTTCTTCAGGATCTGTCTATATTTCTGAGATGAGGTATTGTAATTATTTACACCATTTACATTGTTCAGACTCTTGTCCTAATCTTTGTTGCCATATTCACAACATTTCAGTTGTACACTCCAGCCTTCTTGGTGTAACATGTTTTTGCAAAATTGTATATTGTTCTTTTTACATAATTCCCTTGACCTGAATCAAATCTCCAGCCCTTTCGGAGATTGAAATTTCAAATCAAACCTTTTATTTCATCAGCCAGGGTAGATTGTTCTAGTTCCACATGCCAGGTCTCTTCCAGATATCTCAGTATCAGTTACTTCCCTTTAACACAACTCTCTAAGTTTTTGTTCAACTCTGCTGTAGCCAGATATTGAACTCACAACTCTTTGGGTCAAGTCACTGGATTACTTCAACCAATGCTTTTATCCACTGGGCCATGTCCTGCATGGGACATTAGTGTATGAAATTTATAAATTTAATGTCTCAGTAACCATTTTTACCAGAGCTCATATTACAATTTGTTGTCATTATTGTTTTTCTCTCACACTCCCTACTACTGGTTCCCATACTGTATTCATGTCTATGCTTGGCTGGCTTAGATTTTTGTGGCCAGTGGACACTATAAAAGTGTTTGGTTTGAAATTCCAATCACCTGAAGAAGGCCAGAGCATACAATGGTCGAGTCATTGTGAATATGGCAACAAAGGCGTGGACAAAAAAAAAAAAAAAAAAAAAACCATGGTAACATAAAATGACATAAATACACTTACCTTATCTACAAAAGGATGATCCATGAAGTCAGGACCTCCTATGCTAAGATTTAGCACATCAATCTTCTTGAGAATAGCATAATTAAAAGCATCAAGAAACCAAGATGTATAAGATACCTGCAGGAAAAAAAAATGGAAAAGTGAATGGAAAAGTTCAAGAGTATCACATCTACATAGACTACACTTCTTTAAAAAAGACCTTAAAATGAGAAATTTTGGAATTTTTTCAAGTAAAAGATAACATTTCAGTAACTACAGTGCATTTGCTTATTATTTTGACAAAATAATAAGCAATTAACTATAAAAAAAAAATTATCATACAATAGCATTATATCTTGTTTTTGTCAATAAAACCACCACCTACAAATTATTGCCTTACAAATTTTTGGCATCCTTTTCCAACAGATTTTTGAAAAAAGGGAGATGGCAAGCATTCTTCAAGCACAAAAAAAAAAAATCACTCTCACACTTTGAGTATTCTCTTCAAACTTTCTTATTAAATTAATCCTATAGTAATTCAATAGGAGAGAGAAGTTGGGAGATTGAGACAGTAAAGTCATAATTTCCAAAATTTTGTTATATTTTTTTTTTTTAAACAAGGTATTTTTGACATAATTTAGAAAAGTGTGTTTCTTTCCAATTATGTGTAAACCAGATGGTGTAGCATATCTTTGCAAAATCATATAATATTGTTCTTTTTTTCATGATTCTCTTGACCTGAATCAAATCTCCAGTTCTTTTGGTAAATTCAAAAAGTCTACTGACGGTTAAATAGTGAAAACAAAATATATTTTTTTCTCATATAAAATATTCATAATTTAGCAAAATGTATTGTCAGTAGACAAATCAAAATTTGAACTTTTTTGCAGTAAGAGAAACCGGGAAAAAAAGCTGAAAAATACAAGCAAATACAACTGAAGTTACTGAAATTTTATGTTACCTTAAAAAATATTATATATAAAAAATATTTGTGGAGTATTCATAATTAATTTTATTAAGGTTTGGTTTCAATTTTTGATATGAATAGAATTTTTAGTTTGTGTTTATTCTTTGAATATATATATATGTGTGTGTGTAAGCAAATATATGGATATAGATCCGACAGTATGAAGAAAAATATATACGGAAAAAACAAACAAAAATCCTTATATACAATTATGCTGTTTTAATGTTAATATGTCAACGTCAGACGTTTCGGTCTAATAAACCATCTTCAGGACATATTCATAAATTATAACCTTATCAATACAACATGACAAAGACGATGTACATAAGAACAAGACTTATCCAAACAAATAACTGAAAGTTTTATAAGATCAGCGCTCCGTTTAAAACATGGTTACGTTGTCGTCACGTGGGCGACGCTTCACCTGGCTTCTTTAGTATTTCCCCTTTTCTAGCGAGATTAATGCTCGACAAGCGTACATATAAATTTTAGTTCAAAATAGAATTCTTTTCATTTTTCATTCAAAATACTTAAAAATTTTAGGAATATATTTTCACAGTTTTCAGTCATTTGTTTGGATAAGTCTTGTTCTTATGTACATCGTCTTTGTCATGTTGTATTGATAATGTTAATTATATTTTATGAATATGTCCTGAAGATGGTTTATTAGACTGAAACGTCTGACGTTGACATATTAACATTAAAACAGCATAATTGTATATAAGGATTTTTGTTTGTTTTTTCCATATATATTTTTAACTATACTCGTCTCGAAAAACCTTCGAATTTTTGATTTGCCAATAATCAAATCAATCTGGAAGGAAAAAAAGGTTTTACAAAAAGAAAGAGCTAGGAACATGAAAGTCTGTTGAAAAAATCACACAGATACAGATTCAAAGCCCAAAGAAAAAAATCCCGACACAAGTATGCCAGCTTTCCCTGACGATCTGCTTAGGTGAAACCTGGGTAGGTTTGTCTGGCTCACTAGGTTTGACTATATATATATATATATATATATATATATATATATATATATAAAAGGTGGATGGTTCTGCACAAGCCTTCACCACTTTAATCAAATCACTAGTGTGGGTTTTCTGGCAGTTTACCTTGATTCATTCTTATCAACTTGTCAGCAGTTAATATACCACATAACACCCTTGAGCGCTTAGCTTTGGAGCGGGTAGAATGGAGATCAACGTGTTTTAGTGGACTCGCAATTTTCAATCTGCTTGTCTGAATCATCTTCAAGAAGCGAGAGCAAGATCTAAAAGGTCAGCAAATCTAACAGTGATCTCATCTCACAATTCTTACACCTGCTCCATATGTGGCCTCCTTTGTAAATCAATAGCAGGTCTTAAATGCCACTTAAGATTATCGCATAAACTTTCATAACTGAATCAATAAGATGGCAGATCCTCATACGTCAAAACTGACAGGAGAGTCCATTATTTATATATATATATATATATATATATATATATATTTTAGGCCTGACATTTGCATTTAAGCATGAAACAGATTGTTGCTACTTTTATATAACAAACAAACACACAAGTTTCATTAAAAAGCAACTGACATGATATGGGGTTAAGCTTTTTATTTAATTTTTCTTGTGTTCGTATAAGCTTTCTCTTTTCTGGACAAAAAGAATGTGTAAAAATTGTCTTTTACATGTCAGTGGATACTGAGGTGAACACCAAGTGGTAACAGTGTTTCATGCGTGAACACAATCTTCAGGCCATGTGTGTTTGTTCAACTATTTATTTATGCTGGTTAATGGTGTATTATGGGTAGCAAAGTCTATTGTGTGATCCTTAATAAAAAAAAAAAGGAACATAATTCTTTATGCAGGATATACTTTACCATCTAAAAACAGACATCAAACACACTCTATTGCATAAACATTTTTATAAAAGCCTAACTTAAAGAATCAAAAATATGTTTACTTATTATTACTACCACTACCAATGTTACATAAAAACATCCCTAAATCAACATACGAACAACCTCATACATAAAATTACCTCCTAGACATATACACACACACACACACAAAAATGAATATACATTATCATCCAAATCCCACAGATAAACTAGAATCATGTTACACTTACACATATAAATGGTGTATATCAAGAAAGACAAAGAGTATGTTGTTTCTTACCTGATTGTTAGTGAATACTCGAAACACATAAATATCCGCATCAGGTGCAAATCCCAGGCACTGCTTTGAGCTGGCAATCACCCCGGCCACAAATGTGCCATGCCCTAAACCTACAACATTCAATAAGACAATATTCTTTTTTAATTAGATTGATAGCCAATAATTTTTTCTTTTTTTTTTTTTTTTTTTTTTGTTTATCAATTCACCCCAAGCAAGGCAATAATGCCACTAAGACGCAAAGGGCTACTGAGAGTGAAAGAGAATAAAAAGACTTTAGAAGAAATCAGAAACCCAATAACAGTATAAATTATTTTGTTGTTATCCCAAGAAGGCTAAGAGTGTACAATGGCCGAAATGTTATGAATATGGCAATGAAAATGAGGGTAACAGTCCAAATAATGTAAATTATGCAAGTAAAAAAAAAAGTTTGGTTTCTTTTCATCAGATGTTTTGCTTGTGACCAGAGCACACCACCCTCGACCCCACCACACACCAACCAAGGGGAATCTGATTGGGGGCCCTGGGTGTTGTTTTGTGACCCTCGCTATGTTAACATTTGCGTTTTCTACCTACATTTATATATGATAGAAATGAAACTAAGCACAACTGACTATGATGACAAATTTTTGCAGATTGACATCATTTGAGGGGGGGGGGTCCCCCCTCCAAATCCATGAATTTTATTTTGCTTATGCTAAATTTTGAAAAAAAAAAAAAAAAAAAAATTATAAAATTCAATATTTTTTATCCATAATGTTGAATCTGTTTAAGTTATTCAACATTTTAACAAGAAAAATCTCAAGTGGATGTTAGAAATTGCTGGAAAAAAATTGTTGATCTATTTCAGATGGAATGATCTATTATGACAGGTCTCTAATTTGTATTTAGATACATTGTATTTATTTTCAATTTTCTAGTTGAATTGTTCATCTATATTGTATATCATCCATTATTGTACATAATTAAATAACAATAAAATTTGTATTTTATATGAGTACTACCTTATGAAAATCGAGATGCAGTAGATTGGTGGGGGTCATGAAACCTTTGCACAATATCTGGACAGGTGGATTTGCAAGATACCATAATACTAACAATTCATGAATTGCTACATTGTATAAATTCTACTTATCTTTAATGTCATCTCTAGTTGATTATTGTCCAAAAAAATGTTGGCAATCTTTAACCTTCACGCCTGCAAAAAAGTCAGTATTTCAATTTTTCCCTTTGACACAGTTATTATTTTAACCACCTTCACTCCTCACCAATGTTTATGGTTTTAAATATTGATGATTAGAATTTTAATAAAACCTAAACATATGAAAAGGAATTTATACATTTTCTTTGTTCTTGAGGATTGACAACAAAATTTACAAATCTACCATTTATCCATACATTGAATACTTTCACCATATCTGGTCTGGCGCTCCTGCTGTACATCTCAAAATTTTTGATAAAATTCAAAAAAAGATCTGTAATGTAAGTGATCCTAAACAGGCATCTAGACTTCAGTCACTCTTGTGACACTGAGGTGGTTAAACATTAATTCTAAACAGAAAAAGGGTTACGCCCAAAATGAAATATAAACTGGAAGACAGAGAGATAGAAAGAGAGAATGAAAGACACTTTCCCTGGGTAATGCGGAAGTGATGAAACGGACATCTGGTTTGCCTCACCCCCTACAAACTGGAAGAGTTTCTTTTATTTATCTATCGAAAAACTAGCATGGAGGTAAAGCAAATTAAGAAATGACTATCTGTTTCTTGGGAAATTAGAAAAACACATGTCATTGGCGAAAAGAGAAGCAGACAAGAATTATATTTTCATTAGTGAAAACGAATTGAGAAATGAAAACAGAGAATGAACTCACTGCACAGGTTAGGATTATGAAAATCAATTTGTTATAACAGGTAGGTGATCAGGCTTATGTTTTCGCTAAGACAGTGACCAGCCCAAGGATAGCATGTCTCTTTATTGAGAATTTAAGTAAACAAATATATTTTCATTGACAAAAACAAATTAGGAAATAGCTTCGAAAGGTTAAAATGCGAAGATGATCTGGGTTGCGTTTTTTCACTGGACAAGTGGGTTAGGGTTAGAAATTAATCGAAATTAATGAGGAGAAAAAACCATGCCCTTTCTCCTACGCACTTTAAAAATGAGATTAGTTATGTCAGCCCTGAGAAGTGGGCAGAGTTAGAAAACCAAGGAAGAAAGTAGTGGTGGTGCGAGATATGAAGTGAAGCAGGTTGGAATTAAAGGAAGAACAATCCATGACTACTTCCAAGGAAGGTGGATAATCCCCAAATTTGGAAAGTTGATTAAGAAAACAGAAATAGGGAACAAATAAAACTTTTATTGAAATTAATCAAAACTGAGGACTCACCAAATCCCCAGAGCCCTTTAGGACCCACACCAGTTTTGGACCAAAGTATATATTACTTTGGGGAGCTCAGAGACTTTGGACTGAGATACTGCATTGAGTGCCTCTGAAATTCATGTCAGCTGCCAACCAGTTTCCTGATTCCAAGAATTTGAACCCAGCCCTCTAGAAGTTAAGACAAAGCCCAGTGTCACTATAGAAATTGATGCAGAAAGGGTTAATTTTATTCTTCTAAGTGTTATATAAACTGAAGATTAACCCCACAAATCTCTCATTTTTCATTGTAAAGATTTTTTTTTCTTTAATATATCACCCACTAGAGCTTGAACCAGTGCTGCAAGACTACAACCTTCAATTTCCCACTGCTCTGAGATCAAAAACACAGTGTGGACAGAGTTGGTGTAGATTGAAGTGGCATGTTATCAACAAACAGTGCCAACATTGACCAACACAGAGTTAGCCCTGTGGTTAACATGTCATTTTAAGACCTCAAGGATCGGACCACTAAACGTGGTTACACCACCAGGTGTAGTCAACTTCCCCATGTCTTTTCTACAAATATTTTCATGCCAACTGCTCTGACAAGCTCTTTATTCCCTGATGCCTCAACTACATGAATTTAAGCGAGCAGCTGGATTAGCAACTAGGTCTCACCATTTTACTGTGGAACTAGTTAGATGCAACTGCCAATTCTATTCTAATAGTTTCTTTTCTCGCACTTCTCACCTGTGGAACATGCTTTTGATTTCTTGCTTTCCTGACACCTACAATCTTCAAAAATTTAAATGCAACATCAATCACCATTTTCTGTCTGCCATCAACATGGCTGATACAACACTCTACACTTTCTTGGCCTCACACTTCCCCCAGATATGAAGTGGAATGACTATATTGAATCAATTGTCTTCTTCATTTTCTTTTATGATGTGATGATTATAATCCAGTGTAATTGTTTACACTATTTACATTGTCTGGACTATTGCCCTGATCTTTATTGTCATATTCACGTCTCAGATGTTGTACACACCAGCCTTCATCAGGCAATATACATTAGAATTTCAAACCAAACCTTTTATTTAGTCCACGGAGGTAGATTCCACATGCCATGTCTTTTCTGGATATCTCAGTTTCGGTTAATTCCCTTTAGTAAACTCAAATTCTCCAAGTTTTTGTTCATCTTTACTGTGGCCAGATATTGAACTCACAACACTTTGGCTTAAGTGATTGGATTACTTCAACCAATGCTTTTTTCCACTGGGCCATGTGTCCTCGAGGACTGAAAATGTTGTGAATGTGACAATAAAGATGAGGACAACAATCCAAATAATGTAAATTGTTACAATACCTTATATCAGAAATATAGACAGATGTTCTTTATGCTTTGTTTTCAATTATCTGGCACAGACTGTATGTGATCGAAAGCATATATGTCAATAAGATAATCATGTTCTCCACAGAAATAGCTTAATAAAGAAAGCAATATCAATTCTCATTTCCAATTGATCTCATGATTAACATCTAACTTAAGCCCTATACTGAAATTTATAGTTAGCGTTGTGTTCTGAAAAAGAAAAAAGAATTTCATGTCCCATACTTGGTTTGGAGATCTTGTGTTCTTGCAAATACGTTTGATTCAACTTCAGATGAAGAATAACCACAACAATTATTTTCCTTTTAAAGGAAGTAAATATTTCTTTTTAAAGATTGGAATATGAGAAAAATCGAGTACAAACCATCATCGAGTGTTTTTTCATGAGTCCAGTTGGTGCGATCTTTGATCCTGCCCTTCTTAAAATGCTGATGGTTTTCTCCTAAGCCTGTATCAAATATGGCAACTTTGACCCCAGCGCCTGCAGATGGGAAAAGCCAAAATCGCAACTATTAATACAATGGCAAAGTATGGAGATCAAAAGTTGGTCATATAAAAAAAATTACAGTCACAAAAAAAAAAGAAAAAAAAAAAAATTGTATCAATGGAACACTTACAAAAAATATATATTCTATTCATATATCTGAAAAATCTTGTTGGCACTAAATAACCTATTGAGGTTGATATATGACACTATTAAACATATTTTTACCGAATGTTCTGGCCTTGCTTTCTCAAGACAAAAATACTATAATATAAACATGTATGAGCTCTTCAAGAAAGCAAAAGCAGATGACATCATATCATTTCTTAAAACAGTCTCTACCAAAAAATATAAACCAAATAAGAATGTCAATTAAACCAATTTCTCTACAAACTGTATATCTGAAAAGAATACATCAATGAAACGAAACTCTTTACAAATCTGCTTTATAAAAATACATCAATTAAACCTGATCTCCTACAAACTGATTTCTTACAAAGAATACATATTCTATTCATACAAATTTATCCTAAAAATCTTGTCGACATTAAATAACCCACTGTGATTGATAGGCTGTAAAACAAAATAAACCAAATTAAACTTTCATGTGTTGTATCCCTTCAAAATGTGGGTGATCATGGCTCGCCACAACATCCAGATCATGTTGAAACACAGGTTCCTGTACAATCATCAATGTTAAGGAATGTCAAGCCTTGTCAGTACCTAGGATAGGTGACTGCTCAAATACCCTTGGGAAAGTTATGAATCCACCTCTTCTCTCCCCAGCTATGGAATCTAAAATATTTTCTAGCTTTAAATAACCTACAAAGGGTTGATAATCCATAAAAACAAATCAATTGATGAAATACTGATTAGCTACATAGGCATGTATTTCAGATTTATTTACATTCTGTGGAATAAAAATGTATAGAAATAATAGTCAGTGATGGACAATTTCCTCACAGATGAAGAGGAGATTTGAGGTAGCAGAGATCTTGTTCTACAGAAGGATGTTGAGAATACCATGGACCGAACATGTGAGGGATAAGTTTTAAACAAAATAAGAGAAAAAGACATTTGTAGTTAGTGACTGTTGAAATTTCTGAGACATAACAAGGAATGACATTCAGGAGAATATGACATTCACAGAGCATATTGAAGGAGCAGCAAGAAACATTGAGTAACTTATCTAACAGGTTTGGGCAAATGGATGGCAGAACAGGGACTGGGACAGATCATAAAGGAACAAACATCACTTAAAGTTACAAAATTCTTGTTTTTCATTTACTAATTTGTTTTCTGTGCATTATCAGCTCTTTGCAGGTTAAAGCCAGAAATTTTTTTTTTTTTTTTTTTTTAGATAATAATGATTTAGTGATATAAGTCTTTCTAATTAACCCATAGCTGGGGAGAGAGGAAGTGGATTCATACCTAATTAGAATTTGATAAACAAGAAATCATAATGTGGATATAAAGTGGGGGATCAATTCTATATTGCAAACAATATAAACTGATCCCTCACTTTGTGACCAGAGTAGTTTCTATACATTTATATTCCAGAAAATGTAAATAAATCTAAAAGGCATGTCTGTGTAGCTAATCAGTATTTCATTAATTGATTTGTTTTCTATGGCTTATCAATCTGTTGCAGGCTATTTGAAATCAGAAAATATTGCAAGAATTTTTTTTGAGATAATAATGGTTTACTAAAACAGGTCTTATTAATTAACCCATGAGGGTATTTGTGCATAAGTGAATATAACGAACCCAACACAAATTGGAACTCAGGAATTTTCTTTTTTTCTTTTTACACATAAAGTGTGCGATGGGTAAATTGTCACCATTTTATATTTTAATTTCATGCATTCATGTTGCTTGTTTTTGGTTTTTGTCAATTGCAGCAGGATCAGTTGGGCACTGTGAGAAAAAGAGCACCATGACTCAATTCACTCTGCCAGAAATTTAGAAACGGCATGATGTAATGCTTGGCATTCCTGCTGGAAGCTCCAATACAAACATTTCAGAGTGCTTGGGTATCAATCTGAGGGGACAGTACAGAGGATTCAGAAAGGGTTGGAAGAGTCTGATGGTGATTTGGTGTTTGGAATGATCACTAGTGATAGGACATTATGCCTCCATCTTCACACACAGCCTCAGACTCAACACGGAGACCTACATCAAGTGCCTTGAGGGGGTAGTGCTGCTCTGGGTCAAGAGGGTGGCTACTGGAAGACCCTATATCTGGAAACAGGACTCTGCACCATACCATACAAGCAGGAGAAACCAGTCATAGCTGTCAGACAATTTCTGCAACGACATCACCCCTTACATTTGGCCACCTAACTCCCTAGAAGTACAACGAACTTGGTTATTATGTGTGGAGCGCAGCTGAATGAGAAACCAACAAAACTCATTATAACACCAACGATGAAAGCAAAGATTATGGCAACATTCACCAACTTAAACAAGGAGACCATCCAAAAGAGTTGCAGGAAATTGCAAAGTCATTCAGAGGCTGTGATTGAAGCCAGTGGCAATTTTACTGAATAAATTTACTCGTTAGTATTGAAAGATATTTTTGTGTAATTTTGGGTAAGTATATCTGCTAAAATGAAATATCAGTGTTATTTTCATTTTTGTATCATTTAGACAACAAATTTTCCATCACACAGTGTATATCCACCATAGAAAAAAAATTAGATAAACTTCGATCCGACATGCAAGCTGTCAACATCTTAATTAAACAGCTAATGCCATGCTAAAAAAAAATTCTGGTTGTTAGTCACGATGATTAGAACTGGCGAAACTAAGGAGTGTAGTTCATCTGAACACTCAACATGGAAATATCGATAGAACAGTGCTCATCTGTGAGAAAGGGGTTGCAGAATTGAAAATAATTTGTTGCCTATGAGAAGACAAAGAGGTTTTGGACTATCAAGAGTAGAAAGTGAAGACTGAACAGCTTGTGCCCATATATGGTAACAGTAATCCATTTTCACCCTGATCTGGTTCTTGTAAAGTTAGAGGATAGCAGGTACTTGCTGGAGTGGTACAGGGAGCTGACCATTTTCGAATTGAGTTGAAGTTGCAATAAGCGCTCAAAGCACAGAGCCTCCCCAAGGAATATCTGTTCATCACAATTGGTGAAACTTCTGGGTTTGATTGGTGATGGTGGAAGGCCACTAGTTTGGTCTTTAAGGCATTGAATATGACCAGCCAGTTTTTTCCCCACTGACCTGCTAAAGTAAGGTCAGAGAAGTTATCAGCTGCCAATCTCTGGTCATCGAGGGTTTTGGAGGTGCCCCCACATACCATTGCATCCTCAGCATTAATATTAACAGACGATCATAGTATACTCTTAGGCAGATCATTTATTTAGAGAAGAAAGAGGGTTGATTATTAGAAATATTAAATTTAATCTTTTAGCTTGAAATTAAAACTAAAATTAAAGCTTCAAGAAAGATTATTCATTTTTAAAAATTAATTTTAAACCTTAGTTATGGTGAATCTCTGGTAGTATCTACTCAGAGTATTTGTGAGTAGGTGAATATAATGAACCCAACGGGAATTGGAACTGAACTCTGATTATCAATTCCAAGCCATTATCCATTATACCACCCACAGATCCAAACTTACAGCACCTGGTATTCCCAAGCAGTCATCCATGTAGATTGGTGGTTCCCAAATGATGTGTTGCACCTCGTAAGTGCAGCAGAAGAGGATAGCAGGTGAGGCAGAATTATTGAAAGACAATCAAAGATTTAGAAACGGTTTTAAGAATTTCATATGCCAAAAATAAATGATTTCAAAATTAATAATATTATTATAGATTACTTGTAATTGCATGCAAGAGTCCCAGTATAAATAGTTATAATTATTGACCAGTTTTATCTTTCTGATATTTTTGCATTATATCAAGTATTAAGAATATAGTAACACTAGTCCACAAATTGGAGGAGAGAGTTATCAATGATAATGTTCTGACTTCGAATCCACAGTTATCTCCCTTTACCTTATTTCACTGGACCTTCTTTGCCATAGGGCTGCTTGCGCATTTTCACTGGAACTTCCCTTTGGTGAGTTGCCAGCCAATTTTTCATTCCAAAAATGCAGCTTTGGGAACCACTAATCTAGATACTGACCAGGCCCAATGATGTTTAACTTTGGTGATCATATGGGAACCCAACCCTAATTACATTTACTGCTGACCACTCAAGTGCTGAAGATTTGTAAGGAATGCTTTTTACTTTACCTGTGAACCCCATATTCCAGAGGACTTCAGCTTGTAAAGCATATGCAATCTGAAAGCAAGAAAACATTGAAAGCAATTAGAAGACAAAAGAAATCAAATAGGCTCATGAATCAGTCAAGCAAAAATAGTTTTTTTTTTTTAATGTTTCCTTCAGAACAAAGAAAATTTCCTAGTGTTCCATTTAGTGAACAGATTTATTTTACCAAGAAACATGTCCAAGTTTTATTAAAACAGTAAAATTTCCACATTTCATCCGAGATATTATAAAATCTCCTTCAGAGACATCATTTTTTTTTTCAAATCACACCAGGCAAACCGATAATGAGTGGAAGAGAATGAAAAAGACTTTAGAAGGAACCATAAATCCAATCCTAAACAGGAAACAAGAAATAAACCTCTACTTCTGTTAAAAAAAAACAGGAAGGAGTGTGAACCAAACGATAGGCAAACCTGTCTACTCTTATTTTTCTTATCACTGGGTATGTTCTGTACTTATTAGAATTAAGGGGGGTATTTCCTGGAAAGATGGTGCACCAAGTATTTTGTTGATTTGTTCTGGAGTTCCTTTCTTCATCAAACCCAAAGCTCCAACCACAACAGGAACAGTTTGTCTGGAAAATCAGAAGGTTTTTTCTTTTTAACTCTTTTGTCATTTCTTAACTGATATTTTAAACCTCCATCTGGCAAGACACTATTATACAGGATGTAGCAGAAATACCTCCCACATAATGGTAAGACATCAGTGATAATGGTGTCTTCATCTAGCTAATGTATTACCATTATGCAGGAGGTACTTCTGTCATGTACTGTATGTGAGGAAGTCTGAACATTTTGTGAAACTAAATAGGGGGTGGATGACTATCTCAGCTTTAATACTGTTGACCTTTTAAATAAAATATCAACAGAAAAATAAAATCACGCTAATCCTCTTTGACAAATAGAATAATGTGTTGTCTGAAGACCATACCAACATCACAATTGAAAACTTAATGAAAATATCACTACAGGCCGCAGGCAACTATGACTCTCTAAAGATTCCTTTTCTTCATTATATATGAATTGTTATGAATTCTTGGAAAAGATAGCAAAGTGGGTTCCCATAGCTTTATCCACCATTCATCTAAACTGCCACACAAGAGTAAAGGCTGCATTCTACTCTGCTATTTAACACATAGATGGAAGGAGAAGAGATGGATTTATGCCTTTCCCCCAAAAGTATTAGTGAAAAAGTGAATGCAAATGACCAGATTGGAAATTGAACTCAGCTTGCCAATTTCAATTACTGAGCTGGTAATGTTAGCCACACATGTCAATGGAGATGTTAATCATCAGATGACAGTTTTAGTTTGGGTCCTATATCTCCACACATATATACATATATATTTCTGTAACCATTATTTTTAGCGGGTACACGTGTTCGAGGTGTTACCTTTTATTTATTTTTTTTTATTTTATAATTTTAACCCTTTCAAAAATTATTTATGTTTCAGATACCAAACTAAAGCTAGCAGGTATAGATTTGTAGAGATCTTAATGAGAAAAACATGTCTTCTTTAACAGGTAATTCTGACTTTGTCCTGTCAGTCAGGCTCCATGGCTGAACTGGTAAAGGCACGCTTCGTCTTAAGAAGTGGCTCCCCTGAGGTTAAAAAGGGATCACAAGTTTGATTCCTGTTGAAGGCTGAATTTTTCTTTAGGACTTCCCAATTGAAACTATCTCTATCTATAAAAGGCAGGATATGTGTGTGTGTGTGTAATGAATGCAGGGCCGCAATTTTTGACAGATTTGCACCAAAATTTACATGCACATGCTCCAAGTTAGCAGGAAGGCCAAGACTGGCTTTGCATTTCCCAACTCCCGTCGATAGTGGAAATAATCGATTTTTTTCATGCTTCTACAGCAGTTTTCATATAGTTTGCAGCCATTTTCTACTGGCCAGAGTGAGAGCCTATAGCTGGCTGCCACGAATAGGCAGGAAGATTCTATTGGCCAGCGTGAGAGCCAACAGCTGACTGACAAAAAATGCTAACAAGCATGCAAAAAAAAAAAAATTGATAGCTGTATTCATCACAAGTGGGAAAAATTTAAATTTACATGGCACTTTACTCCAATTGGCTCATTCGCTTGCTTAAACTCAACATGGATTCTGATTCCACAGAACTGGGTTGGGTGTGAAAAAGTATTTGTTGTTAGCATTCTTTTTTCATTCAGTTTTTCCAGTTACAAGTCCTTTTTTAAAGCTGTTCATTTTGCTTAGTAGATTTAATGTTTCGTATAGAGCTTAGAAAAAATTTGCAGGGTGAGATAGGCAAGAAGTAAGGCATGTAGCAACATCAGCACGGCAAAGGGCACTCCTTTAAAGGCAAGGAAGGGCAAAAATATTTTAAGTCAAGTGATAGCGATTGCTGTATAAGTCGTACGATTTTTGAATCAAGCACGGGCAACGCCAGGCCATGCTGCTAGTATATATATATATATATATATATATAAATCACAGTGATGTTTGAGACAGAATAGTACGATGGCTTGCTGGTTCCTTTTGCACTGGGGATGTTGGTATTACCCGCATCCCTCCATAGGTGGTTTTGTTTTTGAAGTTACCTTCTTCTAGCCTTTGCCTAAAGAGACAGGACCTACAAAGTTGTTTTGAATTCAGAGTTACCTTCTAGATTGGTTGCCACCCAAGGCTATAGGAGTCAGTCCTGCTATTTACCCATAGCTGGGAGGAGAACAGATGGATTCATACCTTTCCCAAGGAGATTAGCACTTAATTGAATGTAATGAACTCTACTGAAATTCCAACTTGGCTTCATTACTCTATGGTGAGTCCGAAATAATAATTCCCTTCCAATTCCGAGGATCTAGAAAAAAGGAGGAAAGAAATTCACTAGCCTATGTGAGATTTTTGCCTTTCACAGAAATTACCTGGTGAACTGAGGAAGAAGGAAAGAAATTTGCCAGTCTATGTAAAATTATTTTTGGACCAATGAAGACCTTTCCTTCGCAGAAATTAGTTGGTTAACCAAGAAAGAAAGTAAGTAGTGAACTTACATGAAATTCATTTTTATATAAAATGAGGAGAAAAAAATGTGCCTGAAGTTATATGAAAGGTTTCATTTTAATTCCTCATGACTAGCATTGAAGTACATACCAATGTAAAATTACTCGCCAATTATATTATTGGCCTCTCACCAGCACTGAGGAATTTTCTCTCAACAATCCAAGATAGTTAAGTATTTCAAATTCTCTCTCTTCATCTACTTTTGAACGTATGCAAACCATATATCCCATCAGTGAGCAACTCTTTTACTTTTGTCTTAAATATTTTTTAATATTATTTTCTGTCAGATCATTTAATCTGTTGTATGAACATTTCCTCTTCATGACAATACGTTAAAATTATGATTTTACTGACACTACTTCAAGCACATAAATTTTGTGAATAAATTTCTTATCTTGTTTAGTTAAAATAACCTGTGTGTTTTGTTGTCATTATCATCCTTCATTAATATTCTTGACATGGGGTAAATCAGCTGTTCATTTTAATCCCTAAGCCCCATGTTGTATAACTCCACCATGTTTCCAACCATAATAAAAAAATTTTAAATTAATCCACTGATCTTCATGGATTTTTTTTTTTTTTTTTTCAAAAATCCTGCATAAGATTCCTCACATTTAAAGCTACCAATTTGGTTTAGGTATATTGATGAAGTTTATCCTCAAGTCTTCATGGATGCAGCGTGTGACTGTTTTCCCTTGTGTTCAGTTCAGGGACTATGACCTAATCGTCATGGACTATACTACCAACATGACACTGTTCTTTTGCCCGTTGGAGAGGGCACTCTGCATGTTCAATAAGAAGGCAAAATGGTTTGGGCTGCACGCCAAAAACCAAAGCTGGTGCACATTGGAGACAGCCCCGATCCACCAACCATCATCATCATCGACCCAGTTAAACTCATATTTTTTGTATAGATAGGCTCAGAAGTTTCCAACACTGTCAACCTACACAGAGAGATCAACAGAAGATGAGAGCTAGCTGCAAGTGTCATGAGAGGCCTCTGGAGACCGCTATGGCAGTGATGCGACATCTGCCAACATACCAAGTTATGAGTTTAAAATGCCACCAAGATGTGATCTTTCAGCATAATCCTTGCCTCTTGCATCCATAACTTCAAGTTCCCCGAGGGGGTGCACTGGTCCAAATTAGTGTTCAATGAGGAGCTCTACCAGAAGACTAGCTAGTCAAGCCTTCTTAGCGCAAGGTTTGCTAATTCAGTCACGCCCTGTGATGATCTGCTGACCACCCCAGGGTTATCTATCTGTTCAACCCACTAACTGCAGACTGGAGATGACTGCACAACAGACCATGTAGCTGCTGGAAGGACATCATCTACCAGTACATCCAGAAGATCAATCTGTCACTGGGAGATGTTCAGACTCTCAGCAAAGACCATGAAATTACCATTTACTGTGAATAAATGACTATAAAAGATGCTAACAGTTATTTCTTATGAGTGCCACTATTTTCATTTCAACAGGATAAAAGACACTTCTCAGACAAATTCTCATGGTTGCTGCCATTTTAGTTTCAATCAGAAGTACATATGGATTAGGGTTAGGGCAGGGTCAGGGTGGAATGAGAGTAAGGGTAGGGTTGGGGTAGGTTTATGTTTAGGAGCAGTGGCAGGGTTAGGGTATGCTACTATATACCTACACTGGTTTGGAATTAGCACTAAGCACGAGTTTTGGAGATGAACATTTCACTCGTCTTGAAAACACATGTACACCAACCACTGGCTATGTACATTTTATAAAGACATAAATATGCAAAAGTGTCAATTACTCATTCATGCTGGCTTGGAGAAGTTTGTTAATGTTTCATTTCTATCTTTATTAATCTTGAGGATGAAGTGAATGAACATTGACATCTTCACTAAACGCAAACATATACAAATATACACAGATACTCTATCATTCACGTGCATATATATTACCTGCTTGGGAGCCGCTCTCATTAATCGCCTTGTTTTCAAGTTGTGCTTAGAATACCACATGGAAGCACCCTGAAAACAAAAAAAGCAACATTTATACAAATCAAAAATAAAACATCCATATTTAGTAGCAAAAATGGGAGTCCAACACAAAAACCTCAGCAGGTATTCCGTATATGAGTCAAGCCTGAGGTCCAAATTGAATTTAATATCAATAAAGAACCTTTTTTCAAAAAGGAGTTGATCTGTGGTGACTCCAATATGTACCTGGCTCATAATAAGAGATCACAAAGAAGCCTATGCATTCTGTGTCAAACGATAGCATCAGAGGAGTTAGGTGCATCAGAAAGTTAGCCTAGAAGGTGACTTCATATCCACCAGGTGCAGAATCTGGCCTTGAAGGATGTTAGTGGCTGAGCTTAAGATGTGCATACATGGAATAAACAGATGACAGAAAGTTATACAAGTGCTCCACCTGAGAAGGGAAAGCAAGTGTCTCTCACAAGATTAATTTTCTCAGTGGGTGATTACCAAATCTATTGGTTTGGCTAAGTTTGGGAGTTGATGAAATTGTAACTAGACAACCCATAAACTAGTTTTCTTCTTAAAAAAACAACAAAACTTTCAACATATTAACATTTTTAATATTGTATCGTTGAAATAAATTTAATAGTTTTAACAATTTATGTTTCCTTAATGAAATTTAGCAGGAAATTTAATGATAGATGTTAAATTATCAAACAGTGGGTTTTTAGAACACACAATAAATTAACAATACCAAAATGACATAGGACTATCATTGTTCCAGGACTATATTGATTGATTGATTGTTTTTATGGCTTATCAACCCAATGCAGGTTATTTAAAACCAGAAAATATTTTTAGATTGTACAATTTTATTTATTTTTTTAAGATAATAATGATTTAGTGATGAAAGGTAATAGTCAATGCTGCACAATTTCCTCACAGATGAAGAGGACACTTGAGGCAACAGAAGAATGTTGAGAATACCATGAACTGAACCTGTGAAGAATAAGAAATTTTTTAACAAAATAAGGAAAAAAAGACACTTGTACTTAGAATCAGAAAGTGACTGTTGAAAGAGTTTTTGGAGAATCTGACACTCATAGGATATTGAAGAAGCAGAGGGAAATGTTGAGTAACTTATCTGATGGGTTCATGCAAATGGATGTCACAACAGGGACTTGGACAGATAGTAAAGGAACAATTTTTTTTTTTATAATAATGGCATAGTAATATAAGTCTTACTAATTAACACCTAGCTTGAGGGAGAAGAGGTGGATTCATACCTAATTAAAATTGGATAAACAAGAAATCTAATATGGATATAAATAATGAATTCTAAATTACAATCAATATATAGCCTGATCCCTTACTTTGTGGCCACTATAGTTTCTATATGTTTTTATTCCAGAAAATGTAAATAAATCTAAAAGACATGCCTGTATAGCTAATGAGTATTTACCTGATTTGTTTTTTACAACTTATCAACCTGTTGCAGGTTATTTGAAAATGTTTTTAGATTGTAAGAATTTTTTTTTTTTTTTTTTGAGATAATGATTTAGTGATACAATTTTTACTAATTAATCCATTGCTGGGGAGAGAAGGGGTGGATTTATACCTTTCCTAACGGTAGTTGCACATAAGTGAATATAACAATCCCAACTGGAACTGGAATTTGGCTCTCTCCAATTAACAATTCAGAGCCATTATCTACTGAGATAACCACCCACACATCCAAACTTACAGCACCTGGTATTCCTAAGCAGTCACCCATCTAGGCTTGACATTGCTTAACTTTAGTGAATGTACAGGAACTGGTGTTTTGATGCCTCTAACAAGATCAACAATCAGATCAAAGAAAAGGAGGAGATCTTGTTGAAAAAGTAATCGTTGTACAAAATAAATGCTTTCATTTGTTACTTTGAGTTCTCAACATATATATGCATATGGAGAAAAAGAAAAATGCTCACCGATAATCCACGTTGATTAAGAGTCCGGGAGGAATGAAAACTGGGTGACCAAAATGGACCTGTGTTGGTTGTGTTACAGCGCTTACTTTTAACTGGAAAGAGAAAAAATTTTTTTTTTTTTTTTATGTTGGAAATTAAAATAATAAAAAACATTTTCTTAATTTTTTTGTACATACACTTATTTTGTTGCTTGGTTGATTTTAACAGCATATCAACTTCTATGGATTATTTATTGCTGAAATCTAAATATTTTCAATACAATGGTATGCCTTTAACTACAGATAAAATGTATGGTAAGTAATTTTTTTTTCATATAAAAATGTATGGCTGGTATTTTTATGAAAAAAAATTATTTTTGTACCTTCATAGTGTTTCGGAGTTCACTATCTGCCCATAGGAAATGAGAGAAACTGGGAGAGAATTTTCTTATTCTTACCTTTAATGAATTTTAATGAACGAGTAACCATTTTATGTGGAGTGACTCTCTTTACAACTGGATGATTCTCAAGGGCATCAATACCATTCCGGTTCTTGTCATTGATCTGAAGAAATGATAAAACCAAATACAAGATAATTTTATTTCTATAAACAAAAATCTGAAAATGCTCCCCGACCAAAGAGTAGTGCAAATAATCTTCAAATTTTTTTTTCTTTTACAATAATATTCAACATGTACAAGGCCTGAGAGAAACTCAAGGTAGAGGTTTATAGAATAAGAGGTGAAATTTATGTGGATAGGTAAGGAAGCTAAAGGTTAATCCTATACTCAAAGAGATCAAGATTATAGTGATTGGAAAAGTATCCTCTTGGGAGTCTGTTCTAATTCTCACATAAGCTAGTAGTTTCTGTTTAATATTATAAGGAAACACTGGAAGAAAAGATTAGGGAAGAAAAAGTTTAATCACATGAGAGACAAATGGGGCATCTCGGTGTGGTGTAATGGTTAGCAATCTTGTCTTGCTAGGTCAGTTACTACTGAAAAGTGAGTTCAATCCTCACTGGATGCCCCATGCTTTCGGCCTTGTGCCACATCTAAGCTACGCTTGGAAAATCTTTACATTAATAGCAAATACTTCAGCGCAGCAATGTGTACAACTCAACACTACATATTTTGCTATCCCTTTGCTATAAATGGAAGAGTCTATATTCAACAATCAGAATATAGAGAAGGTCAGTCATCTTTCTACACAACAGAGTCTATTCCACAAAACAGTTGTTTGTGGGAAGCAGCCCGAGAGAGCCAAAACACCTCACAACTGGAATACAAAGGGAATGAGGGTGATTCACTACAAAGTGTGTAGTATAACAGGTTAAAACTGGTGGAACTAAGGAATGTAGTTTGTTTGAACACTTTCCATGGAAATAGTGATAGAGCAACAAGAAAGTTATGAAATATAAAAACTCAAATGAATTTTCACACAAGTTGTCCATACTTAACAGACAAAATAGGAAGGAAAAAAGTAGCGTTTATTTGAATAAGGTGCCTCCACTTTTTCGATAAAAAAAAGAATATAGCATGATGAAAAAAGGCCCCAAAATGGATGAAAACAAAGTTTCATTGACAAAATGTTTATGCTATTATTAAGAGAAAAAAACAATATTTTGTTATTTTAAATTTTGTCATCCTTTCTAGCACATTTGAAATTTTGGTTAAAAATCTTGCATCAGCAATGGGCCAAAAATAACTTAACGATTACTATAGTAATTTCACCAATGTCTTTTTTTTTGTTCAGTAAAAAGCACATTTTTGAAATTCTTGCAAAAATGAAATAATTGTCCAATTTTAATGAAATTTTCAAGACTACAGTATCTGTCTATATTTCTGAGATGAGGTATTATGAACACTATTTACATTATTTGAACTATTGTCCCCATCTTTGTCGCCATGTTTATCACATGGCAACAAAGATGACTGTTTTCAGGACTTATTCACAACGAGTGAAATTATTTTTTTAAATGTGCTTTTTTTTTGAAAATCTTAGTAAAAATAAATAAATAAATAAATATATATATAAGAAAATATACAGAAAAAACAAACAAAAATCTTAATATGCAATTATGCTGTATTAATGTAAAGTCAACATTAATACAGCATAATTGCATATTAAGATTTTTGTTTGTTTTTTCTGTATATTTTCTTTATCCATATTTATATCCATATATATATATATATATATATATATATATATATATATATATATATATATATATATATATATATATTTTCATCCATTACTCAGCACTTAATTTAATTTGATGAAATTTTGATAAATTTCACCCCTATTCATATTAGTTAAAAGCTGGACTCCTTGGAGAATTTAAATTCTCAATTTTTTTTTTTTTTTTTTTGACAAACACAGACACCATTTACCGAAAATCTTCTCTGAATCACAAAATAAAAAATGCAATAAAACCAGGACATTATTTAATTAGAAAAGCTTTCAATTGCTTTTATAAATAAGATATATTAAGGACACTATTGTCTTAAGAAAAAAAATTCTTTTTGATGAATAATGAATTTTTACAAAAATTGTTTTCATTTTTTTTTTTTTTTTAATTAGAAAAAATTTAAGTTTTTTTAAATCTTTTATTTACTAATCATAAATGGAAAAACTTAATACCAATCATCAAACATTAAGATTTTTAAAAGAATTTTTAATTTTTTATGCATATAAACGTGCCCAATTTTGACAGCATGGGCAACTATAAACAACATTAACAGAAATTAAGAGTGATGACTACAGTAAATTTAAAGTCAACATTCCTAAAATTAGATTACAGAGAATATTTTCCAACATTTTTAAGATTACTGAGTACTTAAAAATGATATAAAAAGGCACTCACATCAGTTTCTTAAATTATGTTTTACAGATAAAGTCTCATAGAAAAACATTAAATCTGTCAGCACCTTGTCAAACACATAAAAACGGCTACTGTCAGTTAAAAAACACATCTACTGTTTGCTTAAAAATATTAATTTCTTACTTAAAAGTAAATATTCAAAAGATTAATTATACTTAAAATCAGCTAATATTTCTCAAATAAAGTTTCAGAAAAGTATATTTTATTTTGGCAAGACTTAAAACTGAAAACTAACTTGTGTTTAAACATGTCTCAAAATGGACGACTTTGACAATGTTACTGAAAAAAAATATGAAAATCGATTCCAACGAATATAATTTCTGTTTGAAATACACCAGAGTATTTTGCTTACTGGAAATAATAAATTTAATCCTTTCGCTTTTAATTAAAGCTAAAATGAAGGCTTCAAGAATGCTTTTTCATTTTTTTAAATTAATTTAAACCTTAGGTATCGTGATTTTTGTGGCAGTACCATCTTTTAATGCAAGTCAGTCTGTCTTTAGAATTTAGATTTGTGATTTCAATTCAAATTTGCCTTAATCAGTTAAAAAATCAATCCATATTTATAAAATTCATAAACAAAAACAAAGAGCCAATACAAATATTGAAAATATTCTAGTGCCTGATCTGTTGTACAATTCCTTCATGTTCTATTGTACATTTCTTTTTATGTCCCAGCCAAAACACAATACAAAATGTCATTATTTGAAAAGTCTTGTAGTTGACATGCCATCGATCCACCTACATTCATTTTCTTCCTGTCTGGCTTACTCTGCTAGGCTCAATTGAAACACATTGCAACAGCTGTAGAGAATTGGTATTGGAATAGCAACATAAAGCCAAGTTTAAATGATGTCAATGGTCTTTTGTCAGAAGGGACTGCAAAAAACACACCAAGTTAGCAATGATTATAGTATTAATCCACAATGACTGAACACTGCAATATTAACTTATAACTTACTTCTAAATTTATCCAAAATAGCTGAATACTGCAATGTTCACCCACAATGGTCTAATACTGTGATAATTACCTACAATGGACGGATACTGCAGAGTTCACACGCAACGGACAAATACTACGGCGTTCATTCATGCGCAACGGACAAATACTGCAGAGTTCACACGCAACGGACAAACACTGCGGCATTCACATGCAAGGAACAAATACTGCGGCATTCACACGCAACGGACAAATACTGCGGCATTCACACGCAACATTCTTTAAATTTGAATGATATATAGATTTCAAGGCCAGTCAAGTGTCAGTTTAACCCTTTAGCAATCAACACACTCAAGGACGCACGGTAAATATCAGCTCTAAATGTCCGACCCACCATAACCCACTTGTTTGAACAAGTGTTTTCTTTTCTGGACACAGAATGTGTAGAAACTGTCCAAATGTTCTGTAATTTCAACTACTTTGGGCTATACTTTTAGCCATTGCCAAGGATGATTTTTATAGTATCATATGCAAATTAGATAAACAAGTATAAATAGAGAACAACTGGTGAACATGAGGTGGCTATGCCTAGCAAACTTGGTTGCTATTCAGGACACAGAGAACTGTACTACGACTACTACTACACAGAGAAATATGCAAATCATAAAAATTTTTGCTTTTCAACTGGGTGAATGGGTTGTGTGTATTTTTCTAGAGTTTTAGGGATGTTTTATTTTCCAAACACAGCACATTGTGGCTGTATTCATAATTAATATTATTGAACGTTGGCTTTTTCTTTTTTATTATTAAGGCTTCCTTGATTTTTAATCTTTTTTTACATGTGAATGAGGCTATTATGTTTGTATTTTCTACAAGTATATTTCGGATGGAGTCTGGTAAGTTTGTATGCATGTTTAAATGGATTCTTTGTTCGAACGCAAAAAAAGTTAAACAAAAAGCTTAATCGCAGCACCTTGTCTGTCGTCTTTAATGAAACATGTATAAATGACAGATTGCTGCCTAAATACACAATATATACATATATGTGTGTGTGTGTGTGTGCACGCAGATATGTGTTATCCATCAATCTTGAGAGACCATGGATCTGCACCTGAAGAGTCATATCTTTCCCAAGAGTATTAGCACATAAATGAATGTAATAAATTCAATTGGAATTTAAACTCAGCTATCCAATGCCACAATGCATTACTCCACAATGCCCATATATATATATATATATATATATATATATATATATATATATATATATATCTATTTATATGTCTATTTATGCAGCAATCCTTCTTTCATGCACATTTCATTGAATACAAGGTGCTTTGATTTAGTTTTTTTTTATACAATTTATCATGTGATCTAATAATTTTTTTCTTTTCAGATGATAAATTATATAAAAACTGTCTGAATGTTTTTTTTTTTTTGCCACGCGCTTTCAGTCATACATTCAGCCATTTTCAAGGATGAAATATTTTAACTGTTAAATATAATAACATCATCTACATGCAAAAAAAAGTTTAAAAATAATGGAAGCCTTATTAATAAAAACAAAAAACTAACACTCAATAATATCAACTATGAACATGGACACAATATCTTGACCATGTTTTGAAAAAAAAATAACAAAAAAAAACAAAATGAAAATATATAAATACATACATGCAACAAACTATTTCTTATTTAACAGTTAAAATATTTCATCCTTGAAAATGGCTAAATGTATAGCCGAAAGCGCTCGGAAAAAAAGAACATTCAAACAGTTTTTATATAATTTATCATCTGAAAAGAAAAAAATTCTTACATGAGAAATTGTATAAAAAAACTAAATCAAAGCATCTTGCCTGTCATATTCAATGAAATTATATATATATATGTGTGTGTGTGTGTGTGTGTGTGTGTGTGTGTGAAAATATATAGAAAATAGGAAAGAACTTGTTAGGTAAATAATCCAAAGTTCTTTAGTATTTTTGTTATTATTTTTAAAAAAAACAGTGCTCGATACAAAAGTAGAGCCTAAATATAATCATTTATTTAAAAATATTGCGTTGGAATCATATTTTTAAATAGAGAGAGAGAGAGAGATAGATGTGTAATGTGAATGCTAAAGGGTGAAGATTATCAGCACACAGAGTGAATAATCATTAGCAAAATGACAGAAAATGTGGAAAACAATGAAGAACTCATCCATGAAATGAGTTCCCAAACAATCCATCATTTCTCTTACATTATTGGAATCAGTTATATAATCAAGATCCCAGTCTATGAACTTTCTGATTTCAACTGACAGTAACACAGTTTCATCAGTAAATGCCGCATGTTTCCTGTACAGAAAGGGTTAATCTAACTATTACTGTATTGGAGAATATGGGTAATTCCCAAAAGTATTGTCTTCTGCAAGAGATCTGGACATATCTTTTTCAGCCACTTCAAAAAGTCAATACCTGAGGTGTCCAGAGTGCCAACCACAATGGGAATTATATTCACTTTCTTCATTGAGAACAATTTGGATACTTCCTAATTTAAAATACAAGGGTGGGCTCAAAAGTTCATAGGCCGACTATGAAGGAGTGATGCTAGAGCATTGAAATTGTTTCTTACCACTTAAACTGACATCTGATTGTTCAAAGAAGACTTCAAAAGTACCTAGTAGTGACTTCACTTGAAAATGGACAAAATTTGCCATTGCGATGTTATCTCCCCGCAGAAAAAGGGTTTAGCCCCCAAGGATATTCAGGCTGAGATGTTTACTACATTACGGGATGCCACTCCAGTTTTATCGAGAGTACAAAAGTGGGCAGCTGAATTTAGAACGGAAAGGGAGAGTCTTGAAGATGACCAAGGGTGTGGATATCCTGCAACTGTTACCACCAAAGAAAGCAATGATCATGTTAACCACATAGTGATTGATAACAAGCAATTGACTATAAATCAAATGTTAGGGTTAGGGTTTAAGTTAAACCTAACCCTACCATGAGAGAATTGAGAATATTCTGCACAATGAACTTTACATGACAAAGGTTTCTGCTCAGTGGGTGCCACACCTTCTAACACCTGATCAATTGTGTGCCAGATTGAGCACATCACAGGAAAATCGGACATTGTTTGAGGCAGATCCAACCAGTTTCTAAGGTAACTGTTGGGTTCATCACTCTGATCCAGAGGCAAAGAGACAATTTATGCAGTGAAAACACCCACTCCTCACCTGCTCCAAAGAAGGCCAAGGTCATTTTCACATGCAGGGAAGGTGATGGCTTCTGTTTTTTTGGGATGCAAAAAAGCATTGTGCATTGACTATCTTCAAAAAGACCACATCATTAAAGAAAATGCCAACTTGCTGAAGCAGTTACGTAAGGCTATCAAGACCAAACACCCACTGACAAAATGGGTCCTCTTTCATAAAGAGAATTCTCCAGCAAGTCTTTGGCTTGAATGACTTTAACTGTGGCTTTATACTGGTTGATCATCCTGACTCAGCCCTATTTAACTATCATCTGTTCCAACATGAAAAAAAAAATTAAATAATCACTTGACTAAGACCTGGTATTGCAATGATGATATCATCATTTCTGCTGTTAATGACGTTTGGGAATAGCAGGATGACAACTTCTTCACCAATGGGATCCAAGCACTGCAATACTGGTGCAATAAATATGTGAACCGCAACAGGGACTATGTTGAAAAATAAACCTCATTCGGTCAAATTCCATGAGAATATCTTGGTCACCCTATGAACTCTTCTACCAACACTCATATATTAGGTTCAATTTCTAAATTACAAAATAGCACCACGAAAATTTTTTTTCCAAAGATTGTCATATTATGAATCCCGTATCCCATTAGGGTCATCAAGCACCTCCATATGTACTGCAGCCACATGGAGGTGCTTGAGCAACATAACCTGACGAAGCCCATCTCTCTTCAGGCTACTGCAGAGGATTAGAGGAAGTAAAAAAGGTTTCTAAATGTGTACTCACCTTAACAACATCAAAATCACTTGGATATTCATGCGCTGGGTTGTCACGAGGAAGAATCTTCCAAGAAATCACACCAGAGTCTCGCAAAGCTGCACCAATGAAACGCCTCCGGGCCAAGGACTTATAGTAGCCATTGAAAGAAACTATGAATTCTGTGAGGAAAAAAAAATGGTTCATTATGAGTTGGAGATGACAACAAGTGATAAACATGGGTCTATAATCATTTCACTGCCAGGAAGGCAATAAAGCTACTAAGACACAATGGATTATTGAGTATGAAAGAATAAGAGAAACATAATTGAGAAGAGAGAACAATAGAAGAGTAATCAAGACAGATAACAACTAACATTTTAATGAAAGTTGACTGAAAAGCAAGAAGCCGGAAGAGAGTTCCACAGAAGTGCAAGAAAAGGAACTGTTTGCAAAGAACTTATGATTACATTTACCCAATTCAACTGTAAAATGACGAGACCTTGTGGCCAATGTAGTACTGTACTTAAATTCATAAAGCATAGCTACCATAGAACAAAGCTCATCAGAACAATTACTATGCAAATATTTAATAATTTATAGAAAAGGAACAGAGAAGCTACATTATGATAGTGGGGAAATAACTGAAGCTGCGATGCCAGGTCAAGACCAGTGATGTTGCAGATTCTTCTTTGGATTTCAAAACATATAGCCTATGTGGCAGCAATATTCAAAGCAAAGACGTGTGGTCACTTTCCCACCGCCATAATGTAGCTTTCCTGTGCCTTCTCTATAGATACTTTCATGGTAAATGTTTTGATGAAATAGAGTTTACGAGTTTATGAAGTGCAATATTAGATTGAGAGCAAGGTCTCATCGTTTTACAGTTGAAATGGTTAGGTGTAACTGTAAGATGTTAGATGTAACTATGATAACAGTTTCTTTTCTCACACTTTTACTTTTCTTGCTCTCCAGTCAAGTTTGATCTTCAAAAAAATCATAATGCATTGTCAATCATTATCTACTGTCTCCTTGATTCTGGCTTTTTATTGATCTCTCACCTTTTCCATATTCTCTGATACTAGCATCTTATTAACATCCTAGTGGCTTTACTGCCTTGCTTGGAGTGAAATTCATATTTATATATATATCCAGGTAAGATGAGAACAAACAGAGTACAATTCTGACATTCGTAGCATTTAATTTTAAAGAGGGCTCAATACAAAGTAGAGCAATATGACAGGATATTACACTGAAAACATGTCAAAATCACTACACAATTGTGATAGTGTTTTGATGTGTCTGAATGATTCTCATCACGATTGCAAATCACTGATGAATGATTTATTTAGATTTAAAAAGCAAAATACAACCTCTTTTTATGAAAAAAGAAGTGGGGGGTTATAAGGTTTGTGGGCTTTACTCTGATCAACCAATCAAATATGACCTATGTTAAATTTAAACTAAGCAAATATTAAAAATTATTTTTTTATAAATGGATCAGGACCAGTAGATTGGCAGTCAGTGGCAGAGCGGATGTTAATGGATACAAAACTTATACACACTAGACAAAGCCATTAGCTAAGAAAAAAATGAGGTGGAGTGGTAATTTAACAAAATGCTAAACAAGTTATATGCATTGTGAGTTTCTTACATAAAAGTTTTTATGGTTGATAAATAAATAGCTTCTTTAAGAAACCAGTAAATAATTTAAACATATAGAATTACTTGGCAAATTAATAGGCAACTGTTGGATAAATATTCTTTATATAAGATATTAATAACAATAACCAATCAACACAAAACGTCAAAAATACCAACCAATACATCCGTACAAGATGTTACTAATACTACCAAGAGATTAATTCAAATTATATTAAATCCAAATTAATCTTACAAATAGAAAGATAAGCTATATATGGTGCAATACAGTTCAACTAAAATCTAAAAAAAAAAAAAAAAAAATGTCAAATTCCAAGTCTAATTGAATTGTAAGGTAAAAGGTTGACTGTTTACAATTTAACGTTAACTTAGATCTTTGGTTTAATAAAGGAGTCTTATCAAAAAACCTGATAATTTCCATTTTTTTTTTTCATAAAAAGGTTGTATTTTGCTTTTAAATCTAAATAAATTGTTCACTCGCCAATAATTTACAATCACCTGATGAGATGCATTGATACACATCGAAACACAACTGCAATCGTGTAGCGATTTTGACATTTTCAGTGTAATATCCTAAAATATATATATTATTAAAAAAAACATTGTAAGTAAACATGGTAGAATATTAATTTGTCTTTTATTTGCTGTTTCCCATATTGACGCCAAAGATTTCATTGTTAGCAAGAATCCTTGGAAAATAGGAAGGCATGTTTTTAGATTTTCAGTTTTTTTCTAAATCCACTCCTGGCTTTTGCTCAATTGTTCAAAGACCATAGAAAATGAACAGCTGTTGGTTTGAAAGGTAAAACTTACAAGTGTCACAAGGTATTAACTGCAGGTGACACCAACTACAATAAACAAAATAAAAACATTACACCTGACATGAGGCTCTTATTTATTCAAAACTTAAAAAAAAAAAAAAAAAAGATTTTAAGACTAGTGACACTAGCTTCAACCCCCACTTTCAATATATGTATCCATTTTTTAAAATGATATTGTTCTTAGAGTCAGGTGCAACCACATGTTGTCAAATGATATAATAATATATCAAGCCACTAATAAAGATGGCAATAACATCATAAATTTTCTTTAAACAATTGAATGCTTTCTTCATGTACTCAACGTCATAGACACAAATATTTCAGACAATCCAATCTTCACTCTTCTTCAAGTGTATAATCTATAAACATGGAGAAGAAAGTGTTTTTTATTTATATACGAATTTGACAACAGAAAGAGTGGTCGTTAATGTATGAAAAATCAATTTGTTTCAGTCAAACTAGATACGCAGACTAAACCATTTCTTCTAACAGCATTTTTCAAGAAAAAAATATTTTTTAATATTGCTATTTACTGAAAAAGTCACATGGACACTGTAATGGCCACACCATGATCAACAGCATTGACCTACTGGCTAAACTGTGTGAGAGTAGTCAGAAGTGTTTCCCAACCTTTCCAGTGAAGAGGAACACCTCTTCCCAACCACTTGTGCCAAGTAGTCATCAGCCAATTGCCAACCTGGGCATATAAGAGCTGCACTTTCGAGGTCAACAGCATTACCAGAATGAACGGAGGAACTTCCAAGAAGAAGGATGAGGTAACCTCAACATCCCCCATACAAAAGGAATTGGGAAGCCATTGCAATATTTTCCCTTGAATGTCACCATGAATCACAATTACAACAAAAATAGTGGGAGTGGTGACCACAGCAGTGGCAAAAAATGTGTTAACTGAATAAATAAATGAATTTAGCAAAAGATATTTCCAATATAATAAAAGATCAATCACATGAAAGGTCATTAAAAAAAAAAAAAAAAAAAAAAAAAAAACGTTTATCAGACATAATTTTATTAATATATATATATTTTTTAATAATCTGTCTATATTTTCGAGATGAGGTATTATCATTATTTACATTATTCAGACAGTTATCCTTATCTTTATTGCCATATTCACAACATTTCAGCCATTGTGGGCTCCAGCCTTCTTCAGGTGATTGGAATTTCAAACCGAACCCTTTATTTCGTCCGCCAAGGTAGATTGTTCTAGTTCCATGTGCCATGCCTCAAGGCACATGGCCCAGTGGATAAAGGCGTTGATTAGATCAAGTAACTAGACCCAAAGAGTTCCAAGTTCAATACCTGGCTACAGCAGTGGTGAACCAAAACTTGGAGAAATAACTGAGACATCCAGAAGAGGCATAGCACATGGAACTAGAACAATCTGGGGAAGGGGGCAAAGCGGTTAAGTTAATAATGATTTTGTGATACAAGTTTTACCCATAGCTGGAGGAGAAGAGGAGCATTCATATCTTTCCCAAGTAAGTGAATATAACAAACCCAATAGGAATTGGAATGTCGCTCTCTGATTAACAATTCCAAGCCAGTGTTCATTACAAGTAGTCAACCATCTAGGTACTGACCAGCCTCAATGTTGCTTAATTTTGATGACTGTATGGATATCAGTGTTTCAATGTAATGTGGCTGTAAACTAATATCTTGTTTATTTTCAAGGTTATTTGGATAAAATTAGCATATAAACAAGATGAAATCTAAGTCTATATTTCTGAGATGAGGTATAATTATTTATTTACACTACATTGCTCGGACTATTGTCCTCATCTTTATTGCCATATTCACAATGTTTGGATAAAAAGCATTGGTTTAAACAAAGTCATTGGATTCAACCAACACTTATCCACTGAGACAGTGTTGGTTGAATACAGTTGACCCAAATAATTGTGAGTTCTGAATACAGCTGAGGTGAATAAAAACTTTGAGAGTTGAGTTAAATGAAGGTAACCGATACCAAGACATCCAGAAGAGGCATGGCACGTGGAACAATTTACCCCAGAGGACAAAATAAAGAGTTCAGTTCAAAATTCCAATCACCTGAAGAAGGCCAGAGGATACAATGGCCGAAATGTCATGAATATGGCAACAAAGATGAGGAGAACAATCTGAACAATGTAAAATAGTGTAAATAAGATTTTTATCTTTTTTTATAACTATACAATTCTTTCTCATGTATGATGATTAATTTTTATTCCACATCTCTAAACTATGTTACTATTTCAATAATTTAATAATTTTATAGTAGCGTTTTTCAAATTAGTTACACTCAGAGTTGTGTCTTTCTACACATATCAAAATAACTCCATCATAAAATGATAAGAACACTCATCAATTTGGTGGGCTAACCATAAAGTTTGAAGTTGTTATTTACAAAATAATTCAAAATTGAAAACTTTATTGCATAAAATGCCAGGGAAATTCAACTCTTAAATAAATAAGAATTGCATCTGTTTGTAGAGCAAAATTGAATTGTATGGACGTGTAGGGATGTGAATCCAACTGATTATTAAAAATTAGATATGTTTTTAATGATCACTTGCACCCATACAACTCAAGGCTCACATGAAAAAAAAAAAAAAAAAAAAAGGTAAAAGAAAAAAAAGATGGCATACTGCATTCATTTTGTGTAAAACTGTTCAATCAAACACATCAAATTAATTTGTGCTACTGACTGACTGAATATTGCCAGCTGTAAAACCATTTTAAATCAAATTTGTTTCATCGATGGATATAATAGTTTGAATCTTTTTCTCATATTTTCTTTAATGACACATTTTAAAACTGCATAAAGTACTTATTGTATTTTGAATAAACTGTCATGCACAAATCATGTTCGCTTCAGCTGTTGTTTTTATGCACTATATAAAAAATATATAAACTGGATATATTTTCAATTCTTTAAATTTTGCACTCACATTTGTAAATAATAAGTTAAAATGCAATTTATGTCCATTTTTCCTATTAATGGTTATTTATTTCATTTATGTTCATGGCCGAGATTAAATCTTGGGATTTGGGGATTAAATTTATTTACACTTTACTTTCAAAAAAATGAAACTGGATACATTTGATTATAAATAAAATGAACTAGATAAGATTAACTTTGGTGCATGGGTCCATAAAAAAATGACATGTAATTAGTAGGTAATTTTGAAAATGTAATTAGCTTCCTTTCTTTTATGATCATTTGTTTACTAATCAGAGATTAAGTCCTATTTTGAAGGTTAAAATGAAATTATTATTCTGTTATGTTCCGTGTCCCCTCAGGACGTAGGCGATCATTGCTCTCCAAAATGTCCTGACTTTTGTGACTCTTGATAAATTTTGTCTTTTGGTCATCTCTCCTAAGCCCTGCTCCGCCATCCATTTACCCAAGCTCACTAAGTATGTTATGCATTGTTTTCCTATTGCCTTCAATCTGTCCTGTGAGTATCATATTTTCCAAGCCTTCTTTCCTCATTATGTGCCCCAGAATTTTCAACTGTCTCTTCCTGCTCTTAAGTATAAGCTTCCTTTTTATTTCCATTTCCTTTAAGACTTTGTCATTGTTCACATGTTTGGTCCATGGTATCCTCAGCATCCTTCTGTAGAACCACATTTCTCTTCTTCATCTTTAAGGAATTTACCCTGAGAAGTAGTTTTCTTCTTAGTGGGAGAAGATGACATTTCATAGGTACCTCCACGTGATCACTAAAAAAGAGCATAGCATGAAGAAGATGCCAAACTTGACGAAAACAAAATTTTATCGTCTAAATGTTTGTGTTATTATTAAGAGGGAAGATCAAAGTATTTTGGACATATTTTTTTTACATTTTTTAATCGTTCCTAGCATGTCTAAAACTTTTGTTAAAAATCTTGTTTTTTTTTTTCAGTCAGCAAAATTGACAGATTTTTTTCCATTTTTATAAAAAAATGAAAATCTCAGTTTGAAATTCTTTTAAATATCAATTATCATTTTTTCAAAACTTATTTTAAGAAAATCAGAAATTATAATGTTTATTTAAAATATTTTGAACCAAGCTTAACTTAGCTTAGCTTCTGCGCTGAAAAGATGAAATTTGAAAATAATACAAAGCCGGTCATAAACGTTTGCATCACTTGACAGGTGATAAATGACATATTGACGGATTCCGTGAGGATCATTTGTCCTACGGAAGGAGAAAATTGAAATAATTTACATATAAGTGAACAAATTTACCTCATTATTTTTAAGGAAAACTTTCAGCACTGTAATTTTTTTTTTTTGTATTTAGCTTTCACCTTTACGTTTACGATGCTTTATGGAAAATATATTATAAAGAAATTAAAATAAGACTGTTAAGGGTGAGATTAAATTTCATAAGAAAGGAATCTAATTAATTTATAGGTACCTTTCTTATGAAATTTTATCAGAAGTTTACATAAAATACTATAATATTTTATGTACATTTCTTATATTTTACTGTGTTTATTAGTATTCCCATTCATTTTATTATTAATTTTGATATTTCATTTATGGAAAAAAACGCCATAACTGAGATAAATATAAAAATAAGATCATATAAATTTCATAAGATGATACTGATACTTTTTGGTACCCTTCTCAGTTGAAATTGAAAAATCATATTAACTTCTCCACACGTGTTTCGCAAAAGTAAAGGCCTTAACAGCGGAGAACAATGCTTAACTCAAATAACGCAACTTAATTGTATTCTGGTTGCTTTTCTGTACTTTATAATTAGAACCTGATTATAAACACAAAATTACATTTCTTAATTACTGCGGGACTTCTGATTAGTCAAAACGATACAATTTACAATGCGCTAAAAAAAGATCTCATAAGGGCACTTACGAAAGTGGATGCAGCTTTTAACTAATTTTATAATATTTTAATAAATTAAATGTAAAAATCTATTATAATTAAAAAATAACAAATAATTGTATTAAAAATACACTTTTAATCGAAAATTTTTTTTGCTTTCAGAAAATATTGTTCATATTCATAAACACAAATAAAAGCATTTGAAATTAAATAATATATTTGTTTCATTGAGTTTTGTATGTTACAATTCAGAGCTGATTTTCAGGTCGGGGGGTCCAATTAAAAACAAAAAAAAACATGATTTGCATTCCTCAAAGCCTTGTGTTTTTAACTATTGTAATTACTAAAGTGGACTCAATCGAATTTCTAGAGTTTTCATAAAATTAGTTATCGGGTAGGGGGGCTAATAAATATAAAAAAAAAATTTCTGGCATGACTTTAATAAAAGAAAACATATTTATAATAATTTCGATCATCTGTGAATAGTTTCTGAAAGTTTCATTAACATCCGACAATTATTTTTATTTTTGCAAGATTTTCCAAATTAAAGTGTGTCATACAAAAAAAAAAAGTGCTAAAAATTGTATATGTTATTTTACTAGTTCCGGTAATAGAAAGAGAAACAAGGATTTTTAAATGAAAATTCAGATTGTTCAAAAAAGAAGGAAAAATTTTAAAAAATAATTAAAATAAACTTTGACCTTTCCTTTAATAACAAACATTTAGACAATAAATTTTTGTTTTTGTCAAGTTTGGCGTCTTTTTCGTCATGCTATGCTCTTTTTTAGTGATCTTGTGGAGGTACCTAACATTTCACTAATATAACATTTATTAGAACTTCATCTCTACCTCTAAAAGGAACAAAGGGAAGAAAAAGTAAATTTGAATATTCAAACAACTCTAGCATTTGTGATGAAGAAGAACTACTTAAAATGACCTTTAGTTATGAGTGGTTGCAGTATACTATTACTCCAACCATTACATTGACTAAGTCATTGGTATCACATCTCTGTCCCGTATTATAATCAAAATTTTAGTTCCAACTAAAGGTAGAAAAATTAGTTTTTTTTGATGGTCTTTGTTGAATGACATTGCACAAGTGGCTTCAACGTTTGTATTTAGATGGGACTTTGACATATTACCACTTTCAAGAGGATATGGAGTGTTCTGAGAATATTGGCTATAGCAGAGGCTTATCAACAAATTCCAAATGCAAATCACCATTAGAAGAAATAAAGGAGAATAATTCAAACTGTCCCAAAAGTTTTTTTTCATCAGTTCCAATAAATATATTTTTTATTCATTTCATTTTAGTTTGAAGATAAATGCCATTAAACAAAAACAACAACATTGAAACTTTATTAATTTGGGAATGAGGAATTCAATAAAACCATTCTTTTCTCTATAATAAGAATATACTTTTCTCGTATATGGATTATTTTTTTAAAATATTGTAGAATTATGCAATATTTAACTTAAAAGGAACAGTAATGGCTACAAAACTTATAAATTTGTTTTATGAAATGAATCATTGGTCAATCCTTCAAATGCTTATTGTAAAACTTTAAATATGTTTATCTTCAAATTAAAAAAAAATGCAATAATGCCTAAAGAAAGATAAAAAGATTGTAAAATTAATTACAGGCTGACTTATGACCAGATTGATTTAAAACCTGCCCATCATAACCATTTACAGTTTTAAGTCAACGACAACCTGTAATGGGCCTGCTGGGTTATTTTCATTTTTTCCAACATACCCACTGTTATTCTAGACCAGGAGTCATTAAATGGAGTCCAAGTGACTTAAGGTAACTGTTTTTGCTTCTTTTCCTCTACCTGAACTGTATCTGGATATTCTTGGGTTAAGATTTTCTTCAAATAAGATTCCTTTCCATGACGTAATGTGACCATCTAATAACTTGCATTAAGTAAATGTAAACAAAGAGGAAAAAAAACATTTCCTTTCCCTTAGAATTACTTTGGGAGACACGTGGTAATAAAGTCACATGACTTCTGTAACTATAAAAAGTTAGTAATAGCTATTAGACGTCATGTTATGTCGCAGAATGGAATCTTATTTCACAACTCACTTTAATTCCTGGCATTCTGAAGAAATAAGATGGATTTCCTCAATTCACAAAGTTTTGGAGATATTTTAAACTGAATTTAAAACAAAAATCTTTAAATTCACAAACCAAAAAAAAAAAAAATCAAAATTATAACCTTTCCTTTATGTGACCTTCTCACTAACCATGAAGAAACACAGTATTAGTACAAATTATATGGCTGGTACTTGTTTTAAAAAAAAAAAAAAAAAATGGAAGTGAGGTAAGGTTTAATTACCAGGAAATTTTTTGGAAAAGAAGCATTTTAATAAATTTTATCATGCATTTATTGAAAACTGTTTTAGATGGTTTTTCAGGGACACCATCTGCACATACGGTAAATTAAAGAATAATGCCAGAGAAAAACTACTTACCATTTTCCAATGTTGACGTACTGAAGTCAATTTTCACTCGATGATGTTTGGATGTATCCGACATATTGCAGTTACTATGCAGAACTGTGTTATCTCCTAGTTCGTCGGCAAGCTGAGCAGTCGAGGGTTGTACAACCTGGCACAGCAGGCTGACTAAAATAAGAAGGGATGCAAGTGCCCGAGATAGCCTCCCACAGGAAGATGAAGGTAATACCTGCAATGAAATACGCCATGGTTTTGTTGCCATGGTTAATGACTACAAGAAAGGGCAAAAGACAGTAAGGGAGTGTTAGCAATAGGGGGACAATCAAGGCAAATTTGATGATGTTGATGGTGAAGGCAGTAATGAAAGATGAACAAGTTGTTTGTATGACAACAGTAAAAATGGGCCAGCAGTGAAGATGGTGCTGATATTGGTTGATGATATTAGAAAGACAATGCTGAGGTTGTTTGTGAGGATGGGACAATGAAGAGTCTGGAAGATTGTGTGCTGTAGCTTTCGATGTTGTGGGCGTTGAAAGACAAATCAAAGGGTTCTTTTCTAGAAGAGACGGGGCGGGCAATGAGAGAGTGGAATGAGAAGATGTGCTAAGAGAAACGTCCCAAATGACAATTTGGCAGCAGAGCCCCATTAAGATAGCGGCTGGGTCACCAACTACATGCTGGGGAACCCGCCTTGCATACACCGTTTAGAAAAGGGTCTTTCCAGTTATCCATTTTGAAAAGGTCCAATTGTGCTTCCCTCCTGTCAGCTAACCAGCATCAAACACTTCCATCCTGCAAAGAAACAAATAAAAAAGTGGATATTAGTGCTAAAAGGCAAAAGAAAACAGTTTCTTTTTTAATTGTAAAAAGGCAATTTCACAAATTAAAAGTAGCGATGACACTGGGTTTATTAACAGTTATCACTCTGTATATGACTTCATTTGCTGTGCAAAAAGTTTATCCTGCCCCTGAAGGTGACCGATCCCTGGACAATAGTCAGTTTGAATTTTATAGTTGTGTTGTCATATGCTGCTATGACAACAGCAAACAACTTTGAGTGACATTAACAATAAGGATACTGCAAATGAAAAGTGATCATAACACTGGATTTATTAAGAAACTTGACTTATTTTCCACAAGGAAGTTAACAATTATAACTTCATCAACTTCTAGTCTTATCCAAATGAATAAATTTGGTAATTACACAGTGTTAAAATTATTGTCAGCAAAACAATGGAGAACCAAATCCAAAATCCAATTTTATTTTTAAAATCATGTCACCTCATGCAAGGCAGTAAAGCCACTAAGATACAAGGGGTTACTGAGTGTGAAAAAATAAGAAAAAGAAACTTTATTAAGGAGCAAGAACAATAGAAGAGTAATCAAGAAGACAGTAGACAGCAATTGATACTGCATTTAAATATTTGAAGATGAAAGTTGGCCAGAAAATATGGAAGTGAAAGAGACTTCCAAAGCGAGAAAAGAAACTGTTAGCAATTTAAGAAATTAGAAATTATTCTTCAGAATCTAAGATTAACAAACTTTAAAAAATATTAAAGAACGCATTGTTAATAGTTCATGACAAAGAATCAGAACATTTTTATGTATTTTTTAATCATATCACCCTATGCAAGGCAGTAAAGCCACTAAGACACACAGTGTTACTGAATTTTGAAAGAAAAAAGCGAGATATTATTAAGGATCGAGAAGAATAGAAGAGAAAGACAGTAGATAACAATTAACATTGATCTTCAAAAACTGAAATGCAAAAAATGTGAGAAAACTGTTAGCAATTCAAATTGATGAGAGCTTGTTGCCAATCTAGTACTGCACTTAAATTCATAAAGTATAGGTATCATCTATAAAACACAGCTACACATTCTTCTATATCTGTATTGCTCCGAGATCATCTTCAGCATAAATATCACCTTCCTTGTTCCAGTGTAATGTTGTCTTTTCAAAATTAGTCCATGTAAGGCAATAAAAGCCACTAAGACATAAGGGGGTTACTAGATGTGAAAGAATTAGAAAAGAGAAACATTATTAAGGAGCAAGAACAATAGAAGAGTAATGAGGAAGACAGTAGATAATGTTAGACATTGCATCTAAATTTTTGACTTGAACTTTTATTTAATAATATTTTAGGAAGTTTTAAGTTTTAGAATTTTTGTAGTTGAAACTTGTTTGTATGGTGCCTCAAGTAGGTCAAAATGTTTTTTACATTTACTATTCACCTTATAAAGACATTTACGGATAGAGGCAAATTCTGCACTGTCCATCATAAAATGTTTCACTGTGTATATAAAACCTTATTGCTAATCTAGTACTGTGCTTAAATTCATAAAGTCTAGCTACCATAGTGAAAAGCTCATCTGAACAATTAACATGAAATTATTTATAAAAAAAGGGACAGGAAAGCAACATTACAACAGTGGGAAAAATGACTGAAGCAGAGATGCCAAATAAGGACCAATAATATTGCTGATTCTTCTTTGGATTTTAACAAAATTTTCTAAATATATAGCAGGAGCACTGGGCCACATATGGTAGCAATATTCTAAGCATGAACGAATAATAGACTTATAGATTTGTTGCTTACATTGGGATCAACATCCTCTCTCTTTATTTCTTTTCTCCTCTCTGACGGCAGAGATGGCTGTGAAGGCCAGCCTACTCCTAAAGAATTGTGAGAGGGAGTCAAATAGGAGTGTGGGTGGTGGCCACAGCTGGGCAAGTCAGACCCTCCTGACAGCATGCCGTAGATCCTCTTCATGACAGTTGGACTTCAAAGTCTCAGCCCCCTTTTGGAGGCCTTTTTGCAGCAACAGTTTTCCAGCTCTCAGAGTCAATATTGGCCTGTATCAGGGATGCCTTCAACTGATCATTGAAGCATCATTTTCACAGACTTCGCAATGGATTCAATATAGTCTTTCCACTTCATGTCAGCCGATAATGTTAGAGATATTTGTTTCATTTTAGTTTCTCACAGTCTTAATAATTTAAATGAGATGTAATTTGTGAATCAGGGGAGAATTATTCAAGAAGATACAAGCAAAAGGTGAGAGAATATATTTGTCCACTAATAAGATTCAGTGATCAACGCCACATAAAGAAGTATAACAATTGTTTGCTATTAATTCAGATCTCTTTCTGATTTCCAAATGCATTTCACTAGACATATCAGCTGGATAAGATCACTAAGAAAGCAAAACCCAAAATAAAAAAAAAGTCATCTGATTTATGCACAGGGGCTCCAAGCATCACATCCAGTCCACAAAACAAATCCCTGCAAAAATCTAAAATGTAATAACCAATCATAAATGCTGCTGCCTTTTAAGAAAAAAAAGTCAACAAAAGGCAGTTCAACTAAACACTTCACTAATGTTAATTTCAACTCTGAAGAAAGGTATACATTAATCCTGGCAACGACACACACTTGACTTCACTTATCCATTCCAGACCTTTCTCCTGGCATCAACCATGACCTCAGTTAACCAACCCAATAAATCAGTCAACTCCCAACCTTACCAACAACTATAGAACCACATATTAGCAATTTTTACCACCTTTTCACACAACTAAGTATATATTCTTCACACCTTTTTAATCCTTGTTTGTTCTTTCCCTTGGAACCATAGGCCCATTATAACACCATCTACATGTAAAAATCAACAACGTATTTTAAAAATGTAATTAATTTTTTTCTTTTTTCTAACAAGTTACCACAGGTTAAAAACACTTCCTCCATTCATGCTCTCCCAACCACGAATGTAGGTAGTGAGGTCAAATTAATAAAATAGTCATCTGAAGATTTAAATTGTAAATCAAATGTTAGTTTAATCCTTTCTCATTCAACATGATCAAACCCACCACATAAATATCAGCTCCAAATGTTCAACCCACCATAACATAATTGGAAATAACACAAATAACAAATAGCAAGACTTTGACAACATGCTATTTCTGTCATGCTTAGTTCGATTAGTGAAGAAAATAAAAGTTTTACAATTCTTTTTTGGTGATGAGAAATCAAGCATCAAAACAAAATAGAGTCTCATAATTCAGGGCACTCATCTGAGGGGTTATGAAGCCCAGGTTATTCTACAATCCAAGGAAAAAAAAAAATGAAAAAACTGGAAGGTCAAGATGAATTGGATATCAACATCAATAGTGATAAAACTAACTGATTTTATATATATATATATATATATATATATATATATATATATATATATATATATATATATATATATATACATACAAAGACAAGCTGAAAAGCAACTTGTCAGCTATCAATATACCACATAACACCCTTGAGAGCTTAGCCTTAGAGCAGGTAGAATGGAGATCAACGTGTTTTAGTGAACTCAGCAATTTTAATCTGCTTGTCAGAATCATCTTCAAAAAGCGAGAGCAAGATCTAAAAGGTTAGCCAATCTAACAGTGATCTCATCTCACAATCCTCACACTTGCTCCATATGTGGCCTCCTTTGCAAATCACTAGCAGGTCTTGAATGCCACTTAAGATCATCGCACAAACTTTCATAACTGAAGCTGTCAGATCCTCATACGTTGAAACCAACGGGAGAGTCCATTATATATATATGGGAAAATGATATATACATTTTTTTTTTTTTTTTAAATATCTCAAACAATTTTAGAGTAAAAAGTTTTGTATGGCACATTTCATCCTTTAGGACTTCATCAGACTAAATTGATGTCTGATGAAGTACTAATTATAAGACATCTAAATGCCTTAAAGTTGAACAGTACAGATAGCAAATTTCTATCTTTACTTTTCCTTTGTTGCCATGGTGTTATTTTTGAGCGAATGTTTTCAGAAATAAAAGTAAACTTGACAAGCAATTGACAAGAATGCTTGCCTGCTGACACAGCAAGAATGTTGATTGACAAGAAACAAAGTAAATGTCATGTAACATTGAAGCTCATAATTGTTCACAAGAAAACTGGAGACAATTTTCCCACAATTATATAATACTCACTTTTAAGAAAACAGGTTGTATATCAGGATTTGTTCTGTATTAATACAGAGGCTACGGTTCACCCACTTATTAATACAGAGGCTGAACACATTTTCCAATCATTTAATAATTTTAATCAAGCCAAATTTATTTATAAAGTGACTCAGTAATATCCTAGTTTCTATACTTTCTACTGCCATAAATTGTTTTAATAATCTGCTTGGAGCAAGCTTAAGTATGGCACAAGGTCACATTTTGGGATCTCAAAGTAAGAACTAAG